GAGGGCTGGTCGTTTTCGAAATGCGGCGTTCGTGTGAGCGCCGCGCCCACGAGTTATCACAGCTTGCAGCATCCTGACGGATGGAGGCCATCACGTATTCAAAATGCGGCTTTCGCCAGAGACGTCGTATTCAAAATGCGGTTTTCGATCGAGACGTCGTATTCAAAAGATATCCTGCCATCGTGCGTATTCAAAATGCGGCTCTCGATAGAGACGTCCCCAACGTGTACGACCTGGGCATCCCAAGTCTGCAGCAATTGCACGGACGAAGGGTGGTTCCTTTTTTTCCAGAATGGGGGGGCCGTCTGGTGCTGCTCTTTCTGAGCAGTTGCCTCGTGCTAGCAGGGATGTTGGTAATTTGCGAGGAGAGCACGAACATGATGGACGAGTGACTTCAGTGCAGGAATCACATAAGATGATGCAACGCTACGCCTCTGAATTCGGCCAGCCTGAACTCAGGGCAGAGCAGTGTCAAACCAGTCGAATGCCAAGTCTGGCTGGAAGGGTGGAGGGCGGATCCGTCTTGGAACGGGGTCTCGCTTCCGTGGCACGACCGCCGAGCGCTCGTCACTTGGGGGGGCACGCTGTCGAGAGCAACGCACAGCTGCAGGGACTTGTGAGGAGGGCCGAACGAAGGGGGGGGATAGGGAAAGGGGGGGGTGCGAAATCTGCTGCATGCAGCTGGTTCCGGCCCCGCCGCCGGGCCCATCTCCCGGCGCCGGGAGGCGCCGGGAACATCAGCTGCTACGTGGGTTGATCCTCAACCCCCCCTGTGCTGTCCCCCCCTTTCGCCCGGCCCGATATGAGGAGGGGACCTGGGGCGGCAGCGTGTGCCGCAGCATCGGTGACGCATCCTTGGCCCGCTCTGGACCCACCCCTCTCCTGCCCCCCCCCCCGCCCTCCTCCATTCCCTCCTCCCCTTCCCCTGAAGGCCTTCGTCGCGGGCGGGGGGGAGCTGGGTTGCCACATGTGTTCCTGGCCCCTGTGGGTCCAACGACGACGACCTCGCGACACTGGACGACAGGGAGGATTTGGAAGCCGTGGAGCACGTTCTGGACGAGGAGGAAGTGGACGCAGGCGGGGGCGACGAGGGGCTCCCCGAGCCACGTGCCCGTCGAAGACGGTCGCGCCTCTTCCCCCCCTCCGGGCGCCTCCTCCGACGGCGACTCGGAGACGCAATGTGCTCAGAGCTTGCCTGCGCGAGACGATCCAGCAACGGCACGCCGTGAACGACACAGTCAGGATACAAGCAGTGGAATGGAAACGGTCCACAAGTTTGTCAGATTTGCCACCAGACCGGGCATAACACGGCACCAACGAAAAGAAATGAAACGTGAGAGGTCAAACAGGGAGAGCACAAACCCTCACCGTTTTGAGAGACATGTCTAAGCTCCAGGATCTTCTGTCCAGTGATTGCCGAGGTCAGCCAGCAAGGCACCCCTGACGAGGCCCAAGGGGCACCAACATGGCGCGAATAGCCTGGGGCTCCTTGGGGCCCGAACATGGCGCGAAAAGCTGGGGGCACGTTCGGGCGCGGCTAGGACACGGACAAATCCGTTCAAGAGCGCTCCGGAACGCCATCAGAGCGTTTTTTGACATGCTCTGAGAGCCGAATGAGTCTTCGTCCTGGCTACGTCTTACCCTTGGGCCAGGACCAGTTTTCGCGACATCCGAGATCAGCGAGAGTAAACACACCCTTGAGCCGGATCACAGCATGGAGAAGTCTTCTAATTCAGGCCCCTGCCCTCGCAAAAGGAGTGGTCCCTCGGGGCGGCTGGCTCGGATACACCTGCGGAGCCAAGCAGCCTATGGCCGTTGCCCTTCTGAACTCAGGTCCGCTCCTTAAGGGTTATGGGGTCCTTCGGCTGCCAATCGCGAGAGACGGGTGTGGCCGACCGCGCCCCCGCGGGCGCGCTGCCCTTGGCATCGCTCGGACGTGTGCATTCTTTTCTTCGGCGAGGACCATCGAGGAGCATCCTTGATCATATGGCGAAAAAGCCACGCACGAAACCGAAAAACGCACAGGGAATGGACGTCCGAGCGATGGCCAGGCGCGGGGCCTGCAGCGCGGAGGCGCCCCTCGCCATCGAGGCGCCCTGGGGCGCTGAGGCGCCGCCGGCCCCCTCGATGGCGGCGTCGGGGTGCCCATCGGGCGCGCCCCGAGGCGTCTGGGCCGTTGCGGGCCCAGCACTCTGCACGAACATCGGATCTTGTTCATTTTGAACCGTACTCGCTGTCCACGCCGCCGCGGCCTGTGTCCATTCGAGACAGAAGGCCGCCTGCCCAACAGCGGCCGCTGTTGGTTTGGGACAGCATTTATTGTTGGGCATTGTACCCATTCTTTACGTACCCATTTCGGGCGTCCAAAAGCACTGCCAGCCGCATTGCTAGTCAAAGGAGAAACCACCACCCCGACCATGGCCACTTGCGTTTGCTACACGGCCCTGGGCGCTGACTCGGCAGCCTGGCCTTGTTCGACTCCTTTCTTGGGTGCGTCTACCGTCCACTACACGGCTTCGGTTGTCGGGCTGTCGGGGTGCTCTTTATGAGGACGGATTTTCTGCTCGCTAGGAAGGGAGGGCAGGTTCGAGGTTCTGGGTTCGGGAAGGTTTTTTTATTATTCGGCCTCCTTGGGCCGTTTTCGGGACCCGGGACCGTGCAAAACGGATCTGGCGGGAGAAATTGCTTCAGCTGTACCCCTGTGAGGGGTCTGAAGGCAGATTTTGAGCGGATTTGGCTTCACCCCCCCCCTTCCTCACAGATCCCATTCAGACCCCCCAGCTGCCTCCAAGTCGGGGCCGTCGGGGTCCGTGCGCGCGCGGAGGACAAGCCCTCCGCCCCGGAGGACGACTGCGCGCGCCTGGAGGCGTCCGGCGTCGGGCTTGCCGCGCCGCTGCGGGAGGCGGCAGAGCTGCTGGCCTCCCGGCGGGCGAGCGAGAGCGGGCCGCAGGTCCCTCCGCCTCGGCCTGGGCCCCGTCCTACCTCCTCCTCGTCCTCCTCCTCCCCCTCCTCCTCCTCCTCCTCCCCCTCCTCCCCCTCCTCCCCCTTCGCCAGTCCTTGCCGTCTCCTCCTCCTTGCTTCCTCATCCTCCTCCTCCCTCCTCCTCCTCCACCTCCCTCCTCCTCTCCTTCTCTCCCCCTCCTTCTCCTCCTCCTCCTTCTCCTCCTCCCTCCTTCTCCTCCTCCTCCTCCCTCCTTCCTCCTCCTCTCCTCCTCCTCCTCCTCCTCCTCCTCCTCCTCCTTCTCCTCCCCCCTGCGCCATTCCTGGGCTCTCTCAATCATCCCTGGGCGTGCGTGGCCGCTGCGGGCCCGGTTCTATCTGGCGGAAGGTCCTGGGCCTGGGGGTCTTGGGCGACGGAGGGTCCTGGGCGTAGGTTTTCTGCGCCACCGCACCCTCGCTCTTATCCGCAGGCGCGGCGTGCTACATAACGCATCCCTGTCGCACCCTAGGCGTGGCGGTGGGGCGGGCCAGGCGCTTCACCCAGGACTTCCTCACTGGTGGGCTTGCTTTCCGACGCCACCACAAGAAGTAGGAGTGGGAGGGGGTCCTCCTCCTCCTCCTCTTCCTCCTCCTCCTCCTCCTCCTCCTCCATCTTTAGTACTGTGTTCGTCCCTTTCTTCTTGCACGGCCCGATGCGTCTGGCCCTTTTGGCAGGCATCCGTGCTATACCCCACATCTGGGGCGAGATCACCAGCCGTCCTGGCGCTTGTTGCACCAGGGGCTGGTGGTCTCGTCGTCCTTGTGTGGGGGGTCGATATTTTGTTGTCTTTTGCCATTTAGCCTGTGCTCGGCTGTACATCTGGGGCGAGGACTTGTCGTCCAGGCGCATCAGCACCTGGGGCAGCCTCGTCGTCCTTGTGTTAGCCCTTCTTCGATTAGTTCGTACGTTTCCGCACGTGTGTCAGGCACCCCATCTTTGGGGGAAGTGTGCGCATTGGTGATGGTTTCTTGAGGGGAGCACGGGGGTACGTCTACCCCGACTGTCGCTCCCACGGCGTTTGCTGAGGCCTGGTGAGTTGTCCCTGGCCCCATCGCCTGGCCCTCCACTCGGTTCGTGTGCGTGCACGCGTGCGTTTCGTGCAGTGGGGCCCACTCTTTTATTTCGGGGGCTATCGCCCCGTGGTCATGGGTTGGAGGTGTCGCTGCGGACAGGAGCTTGGCTCCCAGCCCCGACACGCTCGCAGCCGTGGCCTGCGTGTTTTCCGCATGTCCTTTGGTACAGTCGAGGGCCTGCGGGCTCCGAGGCACACTCCACGGGCAGGATCTTGCTAGCGGCATTGCTACCCGCCTAACTCTGGTGGGTTCGTTGTCGCGCGTCCTCCCGTGTCGAGGGCCTCTTTGTTTTGTTCCTCGTGGGAGGACTGTGGCACTGTGCCCTGCCGTGCCTCTGCTGGCCCTCGTCCAGGTGTAGCAGGGTCCCCTTGGTCCCTGTGTGCCTGTGAGGGGCCACACTGAGGTGGGTCTCTGTTGTCTGGTCTCGGTTAGCGCCCAGGCACACCCACCTCTCTGTCGCAGACGATTCCGTACCGACTGCTCAGTGCGGTTGGGTACGGCTGTGGCTGATTTCCCTCAGGGCCTCGCCCACCCTGAGTGGTGTATGCGGCTGCAGCATGGTCCCATGCAAAAAATCCTCCTCCTCCTTCTCCTCCTCCACCTCCTTCCCCCCTCCAACTTATGGTGGTGGTGGTTGTGGTGGTGGTGGTGGAAAACAGGCTCATCATTCACCGTTCTTGATCCTGAAACTGGAAGGCTGCAGCATCTTCAAGGATGGAGGGCGGTTCTTCCTCATGATGTGGTTTTCGCAGTAGCGCCGCGCGCCAGTTTGCAAAGTTTCGCGGGTGGAGGACAGGCCGTTTTAAAAAGGTGGTTGCCGCGTTAGCGCCGAGCACATTTGTTGCAAACGCTTGCAGCAGCTTCAGGGATTTAGGGCGGTGTCTCTTCAACATGTTGCTCGCGCTGTAGCGCCGCGCACACCTGTTTGCGACAGCTCCAAGAACTCGTATGGTTGAAGTCCCAGGAGTGGTGTTCTGGCACTGTTCAAGGCCGGCAGGACGCAACAGCCACGTTGACTCGTGGTGTTGAAGTCCCAGGAATGACGCACGGCTCAGCATTGGCAGGACACAGCAGTCACGCTCATCCCTGCGTTGAAGTCCCGGGGACGGGGTTTTGCCATGATTAAGGTTTCTCAGATGGTTATCTTCTAATGGGCCACTCCCCATAATGACATACATTGTAGCAGAGACATGCGAAGAGGGAATTTGGAGGGAGTGTTGATTGCAACACCCTTAGTGCATCTGGGATTTACACTGAGCCCCCTCAACCTCCTCCTCCTCCTCCTCCTCCACTATTGGCCCTGATCAGATGAGGGCATTATGTGCAGATATGCGTGCATCGCTGCACGACCTGTCCTCCCAGCTCGCCTCCGCGTCCGCGGCCGCCCTCTTTTTTCTGGTCCGAAGTCAGCCGGCTGATCCTAGTCTCTCGTCCACCTCTCGCTCATCTGGCTCCTCGTCCTGCTGTTGCTGCTGTCGTCTACCGGGCGAGATTGACAATTCATTGTTCGACCCTGTCGTGAACGTACATGATTATGGGTTTTCCAGCGCCCGCCGCGCCGCCGCCAGGGACCTTAGGACCTTGTCCTTCTCCTCGCTGCTTTTGCTCTTGGCCCGCTCTCCCCCCTGCTGGCCAGCGTCCCTCCTCCTCCTCCTCCTCCTTCTCCTCCTCCTCCTCCTCCTCTTCCTCCTCCTCCCCTCCTCCCCCTCTGGGTCGTGACCTTCCTCGGCTTCCAGGGTCCCTCCTCCGTCGTTTGTTGGACGAAGGACCTGGGAGCTCAGGACGTGGTCGAGTTTCCCGATCTTGGTCATCAATCTCATTGAGCTCTCTTATTGGCCTTTGGCCCGAGCGTTTCCCTCGGGATTCGATTTAGTCAGCGCCCTCAGCACCCCCGCGGGTCTCATGCAGGTCAGCAGCTGGCACGCCTCGGGCAGGAACACCCCGAGAAGCTCAGACACGATCGCATCTCTCGGGGTCCCTGGCTGCCGGCCTTCCACGGGGCGAGCGGGAGCAGGGCGCATGTCCCACGGAGGCTTGTCATCGCTCGGACGTGCTCATTTTTTCTTTGCCAGGACCACCGATGGGGCATCTTGGGCCATCCGACGAAAAAGGAACGCACGAGACCGACGAATGTTCGGGGAATGGACGACCGAGTTATGGCAATGAGGAGGGGGAGAAGGAGGAGGAGGAGGAGGAGGAGGAGGAGGAGGAGGGGAAGGAGAAGCGGGGCGAGAGGAAAATCAGCCACGCGCAGAAACACCCCCTTTTTAGAAGGCGCGGACGCCCCTTCTCAGAAGTTTGCGGCTGCTTCTTGGGAGCTGTTCCTGGCGTGCTTCTAAGATGCAGGCGGCCTGCTTCTAAGAAGCTGTGTGTGCTTCGAAGAAGCAGCCCCGCCCTCCCTCTGCTCCCTTGTGCGCGCTGCCAAGAAGAGAGGGGGAGGGCGAGTGGTGAAATCATTGGACAAACCAGGGGCTGCTCACGAACGGTGGCTGCTGCTCGTCCCCCCTTCCCCAGGAGGAGGTGGAGGGGCAGGTCAGTCTTGGTGGAGGTGGAGGAGGTGGAGGTCAGTCTTGGTGGTCTGGGGGGGAGGAGGTGGAGGAGGGGGAGGATAAGGAGGAGGTGGAGGAGGAGTGGCAGAAGGAGGACGAAGCCGAGAAGGAGGAGGAGGAGGAGGAGGCTGACCGGAAAGTTTGTCGTCAGTCTTGATTGTCTTCGGCGGGGTGGCGGGGTCTGGCGTGGGCCTTCGGTGGTTTGCGGAAGTTGCCCGAGGTCTTCGAACACGCTCGGAGTTCCCCATCCCCCCCTTCAGGAGGGGGAGGGGTTGATGCGGTGGGCTCTCTGTGTCGTCCTCCCGCCCGCCCCATCCTCTCGCACAGGCTCTCCTCCTCCTTTTCTCCTTCGCCGCAGTCTCATCTCCCCCCTTTGGCTTCGCCTCCCTCCTCGCCTCTCGCCCCCTTCACCTTCGCCTCCTCCTTCGGCTCTCCTCCTCCCCGCTCCTCTTTGCAATTTGTTCTCGCTCTCCGTCTCATTGCTCCCCCCTCTCAGCACCCCAGTCCCCTGCTTCCCTTCCTTCCCACCCTCACTCCTTCCCTCCTACAGCGACTGCTGACTGCTGACTGCCACTGCTGCTTCTGCTGCTGTTCCCTTCTCACCCTCTTTTAGAGACTCCTGCACCTTTCAGGCCTATCTTTATCCGCTTTCCTCCGCTATTATCCAGCTTTCCCCGCCCCCCCCCATCCTCCGCCATTATCGTCAAACTCGTCCCTTCTATGTTTCTGCATTCCACCGCCTCGTCATCCTCCTCCTCCGTCTCCCTCGGTCCCGGACTCCTCCTGCACCCGCTCCCACTCCTCCTCGTCGCGTCCTCCCCTATCTCTCTCTCTCTCTCTCTTCCATTTCTGCGTTCCTCTCTTTCTCTCTCCCCTCCTCCTTCCCCTCTCTGGTCCGGGAGCTGCTGGCATTCTTCGCCGGGACCGAGAACCGCCGCTTCCTGCTGGCCCACTGCCCCCAGGCGGTGGCCCTGGCCGCGCTCCTCCAGGCGGAGGCCCGCGCGGCACGGGGGAAGGGACGGGGAGGGCCCCGACACCCTCGCGTCGTGGACCGTGGACCGACGACTGGTTCGCTCGGACGTGTGCATTTTGCCTTCGGCGAGGACCATCGAGGAGCATCCTTGATCATTTGGGGAAAACAACACGCACGAAACCGGAAAAAAACACAGGGAATGGACGTCCGAGCGATGGCCAGTTCGCGGCTCACGACACGAGGGCGGGCATACTCTTGTTCGCGGCTCCTGGTTCACGGTTCGGGCACATGCACGGACAGGCATAAGCAGTGTTCCAACATTTTTGTCGCGTGACCCTCTCTTTGGTAACAGACCCACGCTGGACTCCAGCACCACCTCTCACAGTGGCACTGTGAGGGGGAGGAGGAGGAGGAGGAGGAGGAGGAGGAGGAGGAGGAGGAGGAGGAGGAGGAGGAGGAGGAGGAGGAGGGGAGGAGGAGGAGGAGGAGGAGGAGGAGGAGGAGGAGGAGGAGGAGGAGGAGGAGGAGGAGTAGGAGTCTGGCCTTTTTTCCGGCCTCTGCAGGGGCCCGCGCAGAGCCCGGGGCCGGCACGCGGCTGTCCAGGACGAGGAGCAGCTGGTCCCCAGGAAGGGCTCGGGGCTTCTGGGGAGCCGCGTGGTGGAGCAACAGCGACGACGTCGGATGTCTTGGGTGAGGAGGGTGAGGAGGAGGAGGAGGAGGCGGAGGAGAACGAGGACGTTGAGGAGGAAGAGCAGGAGGAGTGAACGTCACCTGCGATGCAGGGTATTGAGGCGGATAGACTGTAGACCGAGAGGGAGGAGGTGGAGGAGGAGGAGGAGGAGGAGGAGGAGAGATACTGCAGGATAAGTGTGGAAGAGATGGGGGTGCCGCTGTGGCCCAGATCGTGATATCGAGGATGGGGGAGGATCTCGAGTTCGAGCCCGATCTCGATTGAGAGCCGGTATGGGGATTGAGGAACTTCGGGGCGATTCTTACTATCAAGCGCTCTCATTCTGGACATGGTCTCGTCGTGGGTTTCACCAATGTGCGTGTGGTCGTGCAAGTGGTGAGCGCCGCCTGCCGAACAGCTTTCGTTGTTTATCTCGGACACCATGCTCTGTCGGGCACCGTTCCCTTCAATGCTCTCCCCCGTGTCCACTTGGAGATGGCTGGCCTCCTTCCTGGTCAGTACAGTCAACCCGCCTAGTGAGGATGATCGACTTCCCCAGGGTACCCCTGCATCCTTGCCTCTTCGGTCATCGTCGTCGTCGATGGCCAGCCCCGCTCGAAGTGCCCGGGCATGGCCCTCCGAGGCCATTGCATCTTTACCGCGCAGCTCGGGGATGGACAGACCCCCCTTTAGTAAAACGTGGTTTAGTGAAAACGACCTGAGGCCCAAACCTGGCGGGCGCAGGCCAGGAAAATAACGGCCACGGCGCCCTCTCGAGAGCCGAAAACGCAAAATTCACCAATCGACGTGTCACTGGTGGGGGTTCTGTCCACCCCCTAGCAGCCTGCTTATATGCATGTGTTGACCGCAGGTCTGTTTGCTGTGCCTCCCGGGGCCGCCCTTGCAGCTTCACGGGGGGCGCCCGGGTCAGGCGGCGCAGCCCCAGCTCCCCTCCCTTACAGCCTTGAAGCGCCATGGGGTCGCCGGCTTACCCTGGCGGCATACGCGGCGCCCCCCCCCCCATGTGATGTCGGGCGTATCTCATATCGTTATGCTCCCCCTCCTCTCTCTGGATCCTGCTACCCCTTCTCCTCCCCCTTCCTCCGCATATTCCTCCCCTTCCTCCTCGCCCTCCTCCTTCATCTCCCCCTCCTCTCCCCTGTGCCTCCTCCTTCTCCCGCGGATGCCTCCATTCCAAGCCAACCTGATGCTGGTCTTGCCGCCTTTTGCCCGCGGAGTGTGCGGGCTTACCTTTCAAGGAGAAGATCGACTACATATTCGATGTGCCCCAGGAATGTTGTTTCTCGACTCTGCAAAACAATACGTATAACGTCCGTAGGTGTACTATCATGCTATGTCTGTTTTGCGCAGATCCGATACAAACACGTCGATATTTTACTCGAATCTTGTGCTGCGGTGCGGTCGTTCCTCTTCGTGCACCTTCTCACAAGAATCGGTCACGCGCATAAGGGAATACCAGGAGGGGGGAATTCTTATGAGAAGCAGCCTCCTTCTAAGACGCCTTCCTCGTCCCCCGACCCCCCTCTGCGCGCCGCCAACAAACTGCACTGTAAAAGAAAACCCGCAAAGCGGTGAAGGAGTTCAGGTCAGGTGGCGCAGTGCTCCGCGCCGCTTGCTCCCCCTCCTCCGCGTCGTCACCTGTGGTCGCAGCTCCACAAGCCTGTCCGCACGGTGTGTGTTAGGGGCTCCGGGGACCTGGCGATTTCGAGCGAGAGTGGATGGGCCAACCCATGCCTCCAGTCGTCGGTGTCGTGAGGTTCGTCTCGCTTCATTCGGAGGTCCGTCGCGCTTCAGGCCCCTCGGCTTCCCTCCGCCTCCTCCTCCTCCCAAGATTGCGCTGGCCAAAGAAAAGCTCCGGGCGCAGTGAACAGACTGCGGGTGGCGTCTCCTCCTCGATCCTCGGCACCCTCCCACGGGAGCGGCTCCCAGGGCGCTTGGGCGGAGGGCCGAAGAGCAGCCCACTACGAGAAGAGGTTCCCGGCATGGGGCCGAGAGTCCCGGAGGGCCCACGCCGCGACGGAGCACGGCTCGATCGGCATCACCCACACATCGCAGTATCGTTTAACCGACCCATGTCCCCATCCCCATCCCCGTTCTGATCCCCACCTTCCCACCACCCCAGTTGGGGGCATGCCCCTCGAAACTTGAAGGGAACCGCCGATTTCCCCATCTTAGGGGGGGAAATCGGCTCGCGGGACTCAGGCCACGCTCATGGGGATAGGTTCAAGTTGGGCCCGTCCCTCTACAGGGGGAATGTCAAAAAATAGTCAAAATATAGTCTGCGGACTATTTGTTGTATGTTTGACCATTTTATTTTGGAGCATGTTTAGCATATGTTGCATGTTTCGTCGAAGATCCCCCTGTGGGGGACACGCCCGACTTAAGGATACTGATCGGTTCGCCGACACTCAAGAGCCATACGGGAGTGCGCGTCGGTCCCGCATGGGGCGACGCGCACGCTTTCCGACATCTCCGCGGGCGCCCTCCCGCTGTACCGTTTGGGGGACGAGATCAGAGTGAGGACGAGGAGGAGGAGGACGAGGAGGACGAGGACGACGAGGAGGAGGGCGACGACGACGACGAGGAGGGCGACGAGGGAGGAGGAGGACGAGGAGCACGACGACGACGAGGACGAGGACGAGCAGGAGGAGGAGGAGGAGGCGGAGGAGGGGGCCGACCGGTCACTCATTGTCGCTTGGTGCGTGGCTGAAGTAATTTCCGCGGCGCCGATTGGTGTTGTGTTGTTGTTGTTGTTGCTGCTGTCTCTGTTGGATTGTCATTTCTACAGGACAGTTATTGTTGACCCCACCTTCTCTGGTAACTGTCGTATATTTCAATGAATGTGTTCCTTCCTCGTCTCGCACCCTGTTTTTTACAAGGGACAGCGTCGGGTCACTAAACTTTTCCTTCCCCCCAGCTTACAACAACAAAGGCTCCCGCTGGATACTTCCTCGCAGTTTTTGCTCAAGTCGCGCTCTCGCGCGGGACTCCCCCGCAGTTTATACAGGAAGCTCGCTCTCGCGTGGGACCTCCTTGGGATTTATTCAGACGCCGCGCCCTCGACACTCAGGAATCACGCTCTCGCCGTGCATGTCTCGCGATTTCTTTGGGAATCGCGCTATCGCTCGCGACTCGCGATTCATGCAGGACGCCTGCTCGACCTGGCCGCCTGGGCCCGCCTTCCCGACCCGCCCGTTGGGGTTTACCCGCTTGCCCTACCAGTCTGATTCTGCCACGGCCTTTCTGCTCCTGGCCTCCTGCTACTCTGACTCTCGTGCTCCATCCTCCTCCCTCCCCCTTTTCCCTTTCTTCCGTCTGCCCTCTCATCACCTGACGTAGGGTCTGCATGAAATACACGTAGCATGCAAGAAAGACATACCCTAAGGGGGTGCGATCGAATACGATTAGAGCGGATATCGAGGATTTGGGACACGCTTGTTGAATGGCAAGCACGCAGACAGGAGCGAACAGGTTGCACATGCTGGTTGTTGTCGTTGTTGATGATGTTGTTGTTGTTGTTGTTGTTGTTGTTGTTGTTGTTGTTGTTGTTGTTGTTGTTGTTGTTGTTGTTGTTGTTGTTGTCGTCGTTGTTGTTGTTGTTGTTGTTGTTGTTGTTGTTGTTGTTGATGTTGTTGTTGTTGTTGCTGTTGTTGTTGTTGTTGTTATTGTTGTTGCTGTTGTTGTTGCTGTTGCTGTTGTTGTTGTTGTTGTTGCTGTCGTTGTTGTTGTTGTTGAACCCTGACTGCTGAAGTCTAACTATTATTGATCCCCTCCTCCGGGGCACATTGTATGCTTCACTTGAAGTGCCCTTCCCCGAGGCTCGCACCCTGTTCTTTTATCAGGGAAGGTCGTTGGTCTCAGAATTGGGCCCCTGCCCCCCGAGTTACGACGACAACGGCTCCCGCCGGATATTTCGTCTCAAGTTATGCTCAAATCGCGCTCTCGCGCGGGACACCTCACAGTTTATGCAGGAATTTCGCTCTCGCGTGGGACTTCCTCGCAATTTATCCTGACGCGCCCTCGACAGTCAGGAATCACGCTCTCGCTTTGACATATCTCAAATTTGACTTGGGAATTGCGCTATCGCCCGAGCCTCGCGAGTCATGCAGGACGCACGCTTCAGGAACCCGCCTGCTCAACCTGGCTGCCTGGGCCCGCCTTCCCGACCCGCCTACTAGGGCCTACCCGCCCGATCTGCCCGTCTGGTTCTGCCACATGTTTTCTGCTGGTCTGTCTCTCGTGCTCCATCCTCCTCCCTCCCCCTTTTCCCTTTTTCCTTTTTTCCATCCGTCGTCTCTTCCCCTGGCGTAGGGGCTGCATGGGATACACGTTGCAATTAAGAAAGACATACCCGAAGGTTTGGGATCGAATATGAAGAGAGCGGATATCGAGGATCTGGTCTCTACGTGTTGAATGGCACGCGCGCAGATCAGAGCGAACAGTTTTAACATGATTGTTGTTGTTGTGGTTGGGGTTGTTGGTGTTGTTGTGTTTGTTACTGTTACTGTTGTTGTTGTTGGTGTTGTTGCTGCTGTTGTTGTTGTTGAATGTTAATTACTAAACAGCTATTATTGTTGGACCCCTTACAGACGCCCTTTCGCTCTCGCCGAGGCGCCGGCTACATTTTCATTGAAAATAAGGCTCACGCTCGAGCGGCTTGGGGGACCGCCAAAACCAGCCCCCCAACAGCAACAACGCTCCCGCTCGAGACTTCTTCCTTTTTTACTCAGGGCTGGTGTTCTTCCTCGCCGCCGAAAGCCGCCGTCCTAACAAAACCAGCGCTTCCGCTCGAAACTTCCACCCGTTTTACCTTGGACTGGCGCGCTAGTTTTTCTCTCATCGGCGCCGCCCCCAGCAAAAACAAAGCTTCCGCTCGAGGCTTCCTCCCTTTTTTACTCCAGGCGGGCCTCCTCTTCGCCGCCGAAAGCCGCCGCCCCGGCCAAACCAGCGCTCCCACCCGAGAATTCCTTCCGTTTTACGCCGGACTGGCGCCCAACTCTCTTTTGAATTGGCGCCGTTTCCAGCAAGAACAACGCTCCCGCTCGAGGCTTCCTCCCTTTTTCCTGAAGGCGGTGCTGTTCCTCGCCGACGACAACCCCCGTCCCGACAAAACGAGGGCTCCCGCTCGATGCTTCCTCCCTTCTTACTGGAGGCGGTGCTCCTCCTCGCCGCCGAAAACCGCCGCCCCGACAAAACCAGCGTTCCCACCCGAGACCTCCTTCCGTTTTACGTTGGATTAGCGCCCTACCTTCTTGAATTGGCGCCGCTCCCAGCAAGAACAACGCTCCCGCTCGAGATTTCCTTTGTTTTTCCTCGGGGCGGTGCTGTTCCTCGCCGCCGACAGCCCCCGTCCCGACAAAACCACGGCTCCCGCTCGATTATTCCTTCTTTTTCGAGGCGGTGTTCCTCCTCGCCGCCGAATGCCGCCGCCCCAACAAAACCAGCGTTCCCGCTCGAGACTTCGTTTTGTTTTACGCTGGACTAGCGCCCTACTCTCTGCAGCATTGGCGCCGCTCCCTGCAACAACAGCAGCCCTGCTCGAGACTTCCTCCCTTTCTATTCAGGGCCAAGTCCTTGCCTCACCGCCGACAGCCCCCATCCCCGCCAAGGCAATCCTGTCGTTCGATACTTCCTTGTGCTCTACCCTTCGCTGGGGTCCCACTGGCGGTCTCGCATCGGCGCAGCAAGGCGCGGGCATGTGTTTTCGAGGGCCTCATTGGGCGGGAGATCTGGGAATGGGAATAACGGACCCCCCCGAAAAGGGTGCAATCGAAGACGAAGTGGGCGAGTATCGAGAGTTTGGGTATACAGAATGCAAGACACGCGTGCCAGTAAAAAGCGAAAAGTCTTAACATACTTGTTGTTGATGGTGTTGTGCTTGCTGATTGTACTGTTGTTGTTCGTGGTGGTGATGGTGTTGTCGTTATTGTTGTTGTCGTTCTTTTTGTTGTTGTTTGTGTTGTCATCGTCATTGTTGTTGTTGCGATGTTGCGTTGTTGTCGTCGTCCTCGCCCGCGACCCGCCCGCTACCCACCCAGCGACCCACCCCGCGACCCACCCCGCGACCCAACCCGTGACCAACCCCGTGACCCATTTGCGACCCACCCGCGACCCAAAGCGACCCACCCACATTGTTTTGTTGAGAATTTGGCGCAGGTGGCGGACCCGTCGGAGCTTCGCAGACGGCTAACGCGCTGGCCACAGGGTCGACACGCACGCTCTGAAATCTCGGTTGGCGCTTTCTCGCCAAATCGGTGGGGGAACCATATACCGCAGCGCCCCGCAGATGTGGATAAGCATGAGGGGTCGGGCGGGGCCGGGTAGCGGGTGGTTCGCGGGTGTGTCGCGGGCGCGCCGCAGGGTGGGTCGCGGGGTGGGTCGTTGGGGAGGACGACGACAACAGCAACAATGATTCCCGGATTGGTCGTTTTCAGATGTTCGCGTGCCACCCAACACGGATTAAACGTCCGACGCCCGCCATTTTCGAGGGGCACAACCAGACGCGCGGACGGGCGGGTGTATTCTAACGGGCGGGTCTAGCGGGCGGGCCCTGACGGGCGAGTCGCGTGAGCAGGTCGCCTAAGCGCGGTCCGCAAAAAAATCGTGAGGAAGTCCACGGCGAACGCGTGATTCGAGTGTCGAAGGCGCGGCGTGTCCATGAATCATAAACTGCTAGGAGGTACCACGTGAGAGCCCGATTCCTGCAGAAAGTGTGAGGAAGTCCCGCGCGGCAGCGCGATGCTTAATGATGTGTGGAGAAGTATCAGGCGGGAGCCGCTGTTGCGATACATTGGGGACCAACAGATTCTCAGGGCCCATTCGCTTGTAAAGCATGTTTCACACGGTGCGAGCCCCCAGAGGGGCATTTCTGGTGAGCAGTACATGTTGGGCACACGGCAGGGTGGATCAGTGATCATTTTTTTCAGAAATCAGAACTCATCAAAGGAGGAGGAGGAGGAGGAGGAGGGGGAGGGGGAGGAGGAGGAGGAGGAGGAGGAGGGGGAGGAGGAGCCATTTTATGACTGTTCGCCTGAACGTGCCCGCGTGTCTCTTCGCGTGGATATCCCAGACCCTCGACATCCGCCCTCTTCGTCTTTCTTCGTGCCCCTCTCGGGGGCATAGCTTCCTTGCCTGCCGCGTGTAGTTGGCGCAGCCCCCAAAACAGGAGAAGGGAGGGAGGAGGGACGAGACAAGGGGCATGGAGAAGGATGGAGCACGAAAGAGATTTGCAGTGGTGGGTTTGGAGCAAGAGCACAAGCGGCACAACCAGACGGGCGGACCCTAACGGGCGGGTCGGGCGGGCGGGCCCAGTAGGCCGGGTCGAGCGGGTGAGCCGCTTAAGCGTCAATCAAACATGAATCGCGAGGAAGTTTCGAACGACAGCGAGATTCTTATGTAAATCGTGAGGACGTCCAGAGCGACAACGTGATTCTTGAGTGTCGAAGGCACGGCGTGTCCATTAATTGTGAGGAAGTGCCACGCAAGAGCGCGATTCTTGGATAACATGTGAGGAGGTCGTGGGCGAGAGCGCGTAGCTGAATGGCTTGTGATGAAGTATCAGGCTGGAGCCGCTGCTGTGGTAAACCAGGGGCCAACCACACAATCTCTGACCGGATATTCTCCTTTGTATACACTCCGAACCCTGGGAGGCATGGGCACAGGGCAGGGGGGGTAACATTCTCTTGGAAACGAGAATTGAAAAAAGAACGATGAGCAGAATCCGGGCCACGGAGCCCCACTTCAGCCACGCGCCCAGGGATGGCGCAAGACCGATCGGCCCTTTCCTTCAAACCAGCATATAGTTGTATTGGATGTTCGTGTCTGGCGCGCGCCTCCAACAGTACCACAGTGCTAGTACTGTTCTTCTTCTCGGGGAAGAGTGAGATTGTTTTTTTTATCCTCTGGGGGGTAACGCTCGTTACCCGGGCCTCTCCCCCCCCCCCCCCCCCGTAACGGTAACGCTCGTACGCGGGGGGGGTCTCGGTCTTCCCCTCCAACATGCTGGTGCCCGAAGGCATGCGCACTGTGGTGTGGTGGTCGCAGGCGCACTGTGGGCGCTCGCAGGCCATTGCGGCGCTCGCATGCGCGATGCTGGTGCTTGCGGGCTTTGCGCTTGTACTCGAATCGTCGTCGTCGTCGTCGTCGTCGTCGTCGTCGTCGTCGTCGTCGTCGTCGTCGACGGCGCCCGAAAACGGCCTCCGGAGGCCGAAACAGGCGGCAAACGTCGTCGTCGTCGTCGTCGACCTCGTCGCTCGTCGCTCGTCGATCATCGTCGTCGCGCGCGCGGGCGCGGGCGTGGTGCCGGGACCACGCGGCGGGCTTTGCGCTTGTACTCGAATCGCAAGCCACTGTGGTGCTCTCAGGCAGAGAGTGCTGCTCGCGCGCATACTATGGCGATCGCAGAGCGCCCCTGCTTCGCCATACCCCGCCCAGCCCAAGCGTTACCGTTACCCGGGGGGCACGACCCTCCCCCCCCCCCCGGGTAACGCGCCTTACCGGCCGGAATAAAAAAATGATCTCAGTCCATGACATAACAATGCGGTTTGGGAGGTCCGCGCGGATCTCTCGGATCGGCGCTGGAGGCGCCGCCAAGGGGCTCCAGCCCCGATCCGCGAAGCGCCGCACAGACCTCCGAAAGTTCCTGGCGATGCTTATGGCAGGTGTGCGGCTGACCGGGCGCCCCCCCTCAGACGCTGGCGTGATTCGTTTTCCACACTGCCTAGCGAGCCCGACGCCTTTCTAGGCATGGGCGCGGGGCCTTCCCCGCAGCGCTTCCTGCTCCTGCGGATCCTGTCCCGTTCGATGCGGCGGAGACGCCTCGAGCCCGGCGCCCCCCCCCCTCCCTCGGGCAGGCGACGGGGCCGGCAGGCGAGGCCGCGGCGGCGGCCTTGGCGGAGCTGCTGGCAGCCGCGCCGCCGCTGCGCAGCCCCAGCCAGCCGCCCCCGGCCCTCGGGGGGCGACCAGCAGCACAGCACCGATACAGAGCCCTGGCATCGCTCGGACGTGTGCATTTTTTCTCGGCGAGAAGCATCGAGGACCATCCTGGACCAGCGAGCAAAAAAAAACACGCACGAAACCGAACAATGCACGGGAAATGGACGTCCGAGCGATGGCAAGGAGCTCGTTTCGATGCCTCCGATTGGGTTCGATTGTCGGATGCTGCTGCTAGTGGCGACCCTGGCCCGAGGTGCCCCCAGGATCTCCACGGAGGCGCCCATCGCGAGGCCAGGCGGCCCCAGGGGCTCCAGGCTCCAGAATGGAGCGAAAAGCTGGGGGCACCCGGGGCCAGGGGCACCTTTAGCAACCGCCAAAACTTCGATGGATTCTGATTCCGATTCGTTTCGGCTTCGGATTCCGACTTGGACTCCGATTTTTTTCAGCGGGGGCCTGTTTAGCCTGCCGGCTTCCGCCGATTCGACTTCTCCCGACCTGTCTGGCGATTTCCGCCGATCCGATTCATTTCGAGCGCCGATCCGACCTATCGGTTCGATGATAAGCTATCCTGTCATCAAAAGCCCTGGCTCGGGCGCACGCCAATATGCATTACAGTGAAGACGCTGAAAGAAGGATGTCGCTGGGTACCAGAGGGGGCTCGCTGCTCTTCAGAGGTTATCCCGTGGTTGTTCTTCCAGCCCTCCTCGTGCACCCAGGCGCTCTGTGTGCCAAAGAGGGGCGTCGTTCCTTAGTTGTCGTTCCTTATTACATCAGCCCGACCGTAGGCATCAGTGGATTTGGTGCGTGAACGCCAGTTCCATGGATCGGGGAAAGTGCCCCCGAAGCATGGCGCATTGCCGGCTGATTTGGCGACGGAGCGCGTCGATTACGCATGGAATCGGGAGTCGGGACCCGTCGCTAATCCACGCGTCGCTAATCCATGTCTGCGTTTCCCCGACTTGCCAGGCCGATTCTTGGTCCAGCACTGGTGTACCCAGACATGTTCCCGTGGTTCCACAACACACGACGGGCGCTTTTTTTTGTTTGAAATAAGTGTTGCATAACGAACAATTCGGCCCTTGGGGGCCCTCATTGGGCCCCTGGACCGTCAACAGAACGGCTCCGGGTGACAAGACGGCCCTGGGAATGGGTCGAGTTTCCAAATGCCCGTGCATTGAAATTGAAGGATCGCATGTCTGGGGGTGCACCCTCATGGCCCAGCTGGGAGGGCGCATCGCGGAGAAAGAAGCATCCATATCCGTGGCGTCGCTGTCTAGTGTTTCAGCTAGCGAAGGCGTTCGGCCCTGGCGTATTCATATCTCAACTCCGTTGCAGCCACTGCCCGCAGAGGAAGCGATCTTCGAGGGTATGGATATGGGTACGTTCCTTTCCTGCGAGGCCTACGCCCCGGTCCTCGGCCCAGGGCTGGCCTGGCCAAGCTCGGGGTCGGTGTTCACTTGGCGTCCTCGATCAGGTCTGGGGTCCGCCCTGGGAGCCGCTGCTGCACGCGGCTCAGCAGCGCACTGGCCTTGTCATCTTCCCGCTGGCCGAGCAGCAGTTCCACGTCGAGCACGTCTCGCCCGCGGAGTGGTCCATACACCCGCGCCGGCGCTGCCAGGGCCGTCGGGACCTGGGCAATTTCCAGGCCTGGCGCCCGCGGTCGGGGAGGAGCCTGCGCAGTGGGCGCAAAGGGAGGGGGCAGCTGAGGAGCAACACGGGGCTTTCACTCGGGGAACAAACATGACACGAGCATGAAAGGTTTGAAGGTCCGCGCGGGTTTCTCAGATCGGCGCTGGAACCACTTGGCGGTGCCTCCGTCGCCGCCCCTGACTCGCTCGGCGCACCAGGGAGGAGGACCCAGCGCCGATTCAAGAATTCCACGTGGACCTCCAAAAAATCCACGTGTATGCAGGCATTCGTTGTTCTGATAGGCAGAAACTTTCTGGGAGGCCCGCGCTGACTTTTGGATCGGCGCCAGAGAAAGCCCTTGCCTGAGGTCGCCGATCCGATAAATCCGTACGGGCCTCCAGCAGGTTCTGATTATACACCTGTTCCCGATTTCCGGTAGGCATGAGGAGGGGAGGAGGAGGAAAGAGAGGAGAGAGAGAGAGAGAAGGGAAGCGGGGTAGCAGCAGCAGTCTGTTTTGGGCCTCCCGAGGGGGGGCAGTGCGCTGAGCGAGGCTGCTGGCCGCGTTTTGCGGCATCGGTGTCGAGTCTCAGGGATCGGCCAGCTCTCGGGTCGCAAGACTGGTGGTGTGTGGGCTCGTCCGCCTCGGTTGTAGTGGTAGTACGTCCAGTGCCCGTTGCTAGCATCAGAGTCAGCACGTATAGTGCACCCGTTCGGGAATTTCGCACTATAGATGTTTGACGTGCTGACTTTGATATTTGCAGAATTTTCGACGTGCACTGCGGTCGAGTTGACATACGTACGTCCTCTACGGTAAGATTCGGGGTGAATTTTCGACGTGGACTGCGGGGCGCGAGCAGGGCACTGCCCAAGCGCGCGAGGAGAGTCAAGTTTTGGAAGACATGTCGGCCCTGCCAGCCCACCTCCTACATTCAAATCTCAGCAAAAAGGCCGGTCCGCTGGGTCCTGTGATTCTGGGATACTGGGATCTTCTCCAGTGCAGACATTGCATGGCTAGAGCGGGGCACAGCCAAACCCCGACCGGACAACACAAGGGTTTTCCAAACCCCGTCCCGCTGCGTAGAGGTTCCGCGATGTCAAGAGCCCCGCAGCGCGACGCCGCGAAGCTTTCGCAGCGCCAGTGGGGGGCCGCCGTCCACTCGAATCGTCATCGCCGACACTGGCCATTCTCGCCCTCGCGCCTCTCCCGTGCGTCCGCCTCTGTGTTCCCTCCCTCCCGCCCTCGGACCCCCCCCCCCTCCCTCCCGCCATCGACTTCCGTCGGTGGCTCGCGAGCTCGCACAGGTGGATTTCAGTTTCGGTCTGATTTCACACGTGCCGTCTTTGATGCACTTTCAGGAATATTTTGGAATTTCTGGGGTCGTCGCATACATATTGATTAGGGAGTGTGCGGTTCATATTCAGAATGTTCGGCGACAGCATCCAGGTAATCGCTCTTATAGTTTATTTGGGCCGGTCAGAGCAAAGGGACAAAGGAACACGACGGGAGGGGCGACCCGCAGCGACGATACCTCCCGTCGTCGGCAGTGCCAGGCATTGCCTCTCCAGCGGTGCTTGGCGAAGTGCCAGGCGCACCCGCTCTGCAGGTCCGGCTTGCCCTCCTCGTCTCAGTCGTCGTCGTCGGTGGCTTGTTCCTTCTCCTTCCTTCTCCTCCTCCTCCTACCCCTCCCCCTGCATTCTTATCCTCATCCTGCTTCTCTTCCCTGCTTCTCCTCATCATCTCTCCTCGTCCTCCCCCCCTCCCCATCCTCCTCCCCACCCCCCGCTGTGGCCCACTGTCGGATGGCGTTCCCTCGCAGGTGTGCACAAAAGGTGTTCGATAGCCACGCCCCGTCTGATCTTCTCTAACTCCTCCTGCGGCAGTGCTGATCCTCCTCCTACTCCTCCTCCTCGTCCTCGTGCTCCCCGTCCTCCTCCTCCTCCTCCTCCTCCTCCTCCTCCTCCTCCTCCCTGTCCTCCTCCCTGTCCTCCTCGTCCTCCTCGTCCTCCTCCTCCCCCTCCTCCTTCCTGTCCTCCTCCTCCTCCTCCTCCTCCTCCTCCGCCTCCTCTATCACTTCCGCTGGCTGTTCCTCCTCCTCCTCACCTTTTTGTTCCCCCTTCCTCCCTTCCGAGGGCAGGCCGCAAATAGCAAAATTTGTCCGTCGTGATTCCTCGTTTTGCGCGACTCAGCGGGGATAGGCTAGTCGGACGAATGTGGCGCGAGGCAGCAGATCGGCGGAGAGTCCAGCGGGAAAGGCAGAGTGGGCGGGCCTGTGATCAGAAGGCACGGGAGACCACCCTCCTTCTGAGACGTGTTCTATATGCATTGCACGAAGATATGGACGGCTCCTTCGAAGGCCGGGCGGCTTCTAAGGAGCCCTGCCGTCTTCTGAGAAGGCTTGCCCTCTCTCACTTCCCCTTCAGGCGCGCCGCCTAGCCTGGGGGGCGAGAGACATGCCATTCAACTCTCCCCGCCACGTGGCAGCACCTGGAGAGCAAACACAAGAGTGAGGGGGCTTCCGCGAAGTACGTCACAAATGTGTCGCGGGGTGGGTCGCGGGGTGGGTCGCGGGGTGGGTCGCGTGTGGGTCGCGGGCGGGTTGCGGGCAAGGACGACAACAACAACAACATCAACAATACCAACAGCAACAGCAACACCACCAACACCACCAACAACAACACTCAACGACGACAACAACAAACAACGACGACGGCAAGAACAACAACACTCGTTTTAACAGAACACCCCGCAGATGCGGATACGAGTGAGGGGGCGGTGGGGACGTCGGCAGTCTGCGAGACTCTGGAGAAGCCCGCCGCAGACGCCACGAATAATACAACGAGCTCCCCGCAGGCAACGAGTTTGTCGTTCAACCAATGTGGGTAGGTCGCGGGTGGGTCGCAAATGGGTCGCGGTTGGGTCGCGGGTGGGTCGCGGGAGGGTCGCTGTTGGGTCGCGGGTGGGTCGCGGGTGGGTCGCGGGGTGGGTCGCGGGGTGGGTCTCGGGTGGGTCGCAAGTTTGTCGCGGGTGGGTCGCGGGTGGGTCGACGGGGTGGGTCGCGTGTGGGTCGCGGGTTGGGTCGCGGGTGCGGGTCGCGGGTGGCTCGCGGGTTGGGTCGTGGGTTGGGTCATGGGTCGCCGGGTGGGTCGCGGGGTGGGTCGCGGGGTGGGTCGCGGAGTGGGTCGCGGGGTGGGTTGCGGTTGGGTCGGGAGTTGCGTCGCGGGTTGGGTCGAGGAGTGGGTCGCGCGTGTGTCGCGGTTGGGACGACGATAACAAACAGCAACAACAGCAACAACACCAACAACAATAACAACAGCAATGATTTTAAGATTGTTCGATCTTATTGCCACGCGTGTCTTGCATTCTGTATACCCCAACCCTCGATACCCGCCCACTTCGATATCTTCCTTGTCGGCCACTGACTGACTGAAGTGCGAGGTAGTCTCGGGCGAGAGCGCCGTTCCTGAGTTCGGGGGCCTCTCTGGCCAGGGGCTCCCGGAACACTTATGGAAAAATATCGAGCGGGAGCCGTTGTCGCCGTGTCTGGGCATCCACCGACTTGCCTGAATTCCGAGACAGTCTCGAGCGAGAGTGCCGTTCCTGAGTTCGGGGGCCTTCCTGGCCAGGGGATCTGGCAGTAAATCGTGAGGACGTATCTGCAGGAGCCCTTGTCGTGGCTGGGCCTCCAACAACTTGACTGAACTGCGAGGAAGTCATGAGCGATAGCGCCCTTCCTGAGTTCGGGGGCCTCTCTTGCTAGGGTGTCTCGGGGTGGATTGTGAGGATGTATCGACCGGGAGCCGTTGTCGTTGTAGCTGGGCCTCCAAGGGCCCACATTTAGACTCAAGCCAGCGCTCGCGCGGGAGCTTTGTTTTCAGAGAAAGTGTACCCGGCGTCGAGGCGAGAACGCGCGGAACCCGTTTCGGGAGGTCAACAAAAATATTTGTTAGAAGTGAATATTCAACAACGCAACACATATCCTCACCACGGATCCCCACTTCAGCCACGCACCCAGGGACAATGAATGACCGCTCGGCCTCCTCACTCTGATACTGATCGCTCTTATCTGCTCGCGTGCCATTCAACACGCATATCCCAAACCCTCAATTCCCGCCCTCTTCGTCTTCGATCGTGCCCATTTGTGGCATTTGTGTATATATATACTTCTCTCTCTCTCTCTTTCTTACCTGCAACGTGTATTTCGTGCAGCCCCTGACTCAAGGGAGGAGAGGACGGAAGGAAGGGACTCGGGGGGAAGGAAGAGGATGAGCACGTGAGAAAGAGAGAGAGAGAGAGAGAGAGAAAGAGAGTAGCAAGAGGGGGGTTGGGAGCAGAAGTCACGTGGCCGAGACAGACGGGACCATCGGGCGCCTAGGCCCTGACGGGCGGGCCGGGAAGGCGGGCCCAGGCGGCCAGGTCGAGCAGACGGGTTGATGAAGCGTGCGTCCTGCATGAATCGCGAGGAAGTTTTGAGCGACACCGCGATACCCAAGTAAATCGTGAGAAGGGCCCGAGCGAGAGCGTCATTCCCGAGTGTCAAAAACGCGGCGTCTGAAGAATGTGCACGCGATTTGTGCATACACTGTGACGAAGTCAATCACGAGAGCTTGATTTTGGAATGCCTTGTGAGGAAGTATCAGGCGGAAACCGCTGTTGTTGTGAACTGGGGGCCAACTGCCCAGTTTGGTGGCATGTCAATTACCCTTGATAAAAGGCATCGCGGTCGCCCCGCGAGGAGCACTTTACTTGAAACATCATATACAGGCCACCGGAGACATTCAACACGTATACCGAAAAAACCTTCGGTCCTCGCCCTCTTCGTCTTCGATCGTGCCCCATTGCGGGTAGATCTTCCTTGCGCCTGCCACGCGCATCGAGCGCAGCCCTATCACCAGGGAGGGGACGGAGGACGGTTGGGCACAGGGAGGGGAGGATGGAGCATGAGGGAAATCTGCAGGAGGGGTGCTAGGAACAGAATTTTCTGGGGGAGCACAGGCGGGGCTGGGGGCCGGGGGGGCCAGGGGAGCAGGCGGTGCCGAAGTGGATGTGCAGAGGGATGCTAGGAACAGAAACATGTGGCAAAACCAGACGGCCCGATCGGGCGGGCAGACCCTCGCGCACGGGTCGGGGAGGCGGGCCAGGCTGCCAGGTCGAGAAGGCGGGTTGTTGAAGCGTGCGTCCTGCATGGATCGCGAGGGTGTCTCGAGCGATGGCGCGATGCCGAGCACAGCGCGAGAAAGGCGACAGCGAGAGCGTGATTCCTCAGCGAGGTCGCGGCGCTTGAACATACTGCAAGGAAGTGCCACGCGAGAGCGCGATTGCTGCATGACTTGTGAGATAGTCCCTCGCGAGAGCGCGATTGTGCAATCATGTGTGAGGAAGTATCAGGCGGGAGCCGTTGTTGTTGTAGTTCGGGGCCCAACAACGCAGCGTGATAGCACAACATGTGTTTCGTTTTTTACAGAAAAAGAAGCAGGTTGCGAGCCTTGAGGAGGGCATTCCAGTTGAACAAGAAAACGGTTACCGGAGGGTGAATAATCATTTGTTTTGCGACCGTGAGCATTCAACAACAAGCTTACGAGTATTCGCTCGCATCTGCTCGCGTGCCAGTCAAAATGCATACCACAAACCTTCGTTACCCGCAATTTCCGTTTTCGATCATACCCTCAGGGGGTCTATTTTCTTTGCATGCGACGCATATTTTGCGCAGCCGCTAAAACAGGGGAACAAGGGACGGCTGGAAGGAGCATGCAAGTGAGAGGGAAAGGGATGCGGCTAGGAGCAGAGAACACGTGGCAGAACCAGACGGGCAGATCGGGCGGGTAGACCCTAGCAGGCGGGTCGGGAAGGTGGGCCCAGGCGGCTGGGTCGAGCAGGCGGGTCGCTGAAGCGATTCCTGCATGAGTCGCGAGGACGTCTCGAGCGATAGCGAGATTCCCAAGTATTTCGTGAGTAGGGCTTCAGCGAGAGCGTGATTTTTGAGTGTCGAGGGCGCGGCGTCTGCATGAGTTGCGAGGGCGCGCCACGCGAGAGCAACATTGTCGTGTCAACTATGAAAAATATTGTGCGAGAGCGCGACTTTGGAATAACTTGTGAAGGAGTGTCCGGCGGGAGCCGTTGTTGCTGGAAGTGGGGGGCCAGGGGCGCAGTCTGAGCCCCAAGAGTTGTCCTAGAATTTTCTTTGTAGAAGGCATGGAGCGAGACCCGGGAGGAGCACTTCAATTGAAAAACAGAATGGGCACCGAGGGGAGCATTTGAATTGAAATACAGAATGGGCACCGAGGGGAGGGTGGATCAACAGTCAGTCTTTCTCACAATTTCAACGGCAGCCATCCGCACCGCGGAACGCCTTTTCACCCAAGCGCCCACGGTCAGAGACTGATCGTTCGGCCCCCCCTACCCCAGCTGCTCTCCACTCTGCATCGCCGCGCGCGGCCGAGCAGAGACGGCCAGGGCCATCCGCGCACCCTGCCGCCGGGGGCCCTTGGCGCGCCCTGCCGCTGCCCTCCGGCAGGTCCGCCACGTTCTGGCAGCTGCAGCCTGGAGGCCTGGGCTTCGAGCGCCGGTGCTTCCTGTCGTCCACGTGCGCGGCACTCGGGAGGCCTCAGGTCGTGATTCCGGGCGTCCCCTCTCTGAGCCTGTCCCTATCGTTGCCCTGACTGCCCTTTCCCCTTTCCTCGGTGTCGCTCTTTTGAGGGGCTCCTGGGAGGCTCTCGTTCGAGCTCGGGGGGTCGCTATCGGGCTGGGGCCATCAAAAATTGGTCTGGGCAGAAGCTCTGGGGCCGCGGATCGGAAAAGTCAGATCGGCGGATGTCTGGGCTCGGGGGCTGGGTTTCTCCGTGTCCTGCATGTGCGAGCCCCCGTGTTCGGCGGCACGGCCGCGCTCTTGCTGCTAGGAGCTGTGAGCGAGTGCAGGGGGAGCAGGGGCAGGAGGAGGATCATGAGGAGGAGGAGGAGGAGAAGGAGGAGGAGGAGGAGGAGGAGGTGGAGGAGGATCATGAGGAGGAGGAGGAGGAGGAGGAGGAGGAGGAGGAGGAGGAGGAGGAGGATAGGGAGGAGGAGGAAGAGGAGGAGGAGGGGGAAGATGGGGAGGAGGAGGGGATAGGAGGAGGAGAGGGGAGCTAAAGGAGCATAAGGAGGAAGAGGGCGAGAGGGGGGAGGAGGAGGAACAGGAGATGCGCGGAGGAAGAAGGCAGCAGGCAGGAGGAGATGGCGGAGGAGGGCCAGGACGGCGATGAAGTTCCCGGAGCGGCCGCCGGCCGAGATCCGTCCGATCCTCAAATGTCGCCGCGCTGTCTGTTCCGACGCGCGGCCTTCTGTCTTTGGGGAAGGCGCCGTGGCCACCAGGGCGAAGGCCGCCTCGGACGCGAGGCTCGCCGTGGGGTTTGCCGCGGTTCCGGTTCCGTCTACGTGGGCGCGGCGATAGATCCCTTCCCTCCGCCCTCCTCCTCCGCCCCCTCGTCGCCCTCGGAGGGAGGGGCCCCCCGAGAGCGTCACGGCTGCTACATGGGCTCGCCTAGCATTCGCTCGTGGTGGCTCGAGGGCCCAGCGGCCCCCCCATGGCGCAAGGCAGCGCTGCCGCAGCGCGGCTGCGACCGCTGCAAGCCACCTGGGTCGTCCGACCTGTCGACTCGTGCTCCCGCCCCCCATCTCGTGGACCCATTACATCTCGCGTCTTGAAGGAACACACGACGGGCGGGTCTCTGCCATGTTGGGCCTTTTGGGGCCCTCGCCGGGCCCCAGGACGGTCTCGAACACAGCTTCAGGATGAAAAAGCCGGCCCAGGGGAAAGGTTCCAGACAAGTGGGGGTCGACGTTGCACAAGAAGATTTCGCCGGGGTTCTTGAAAGAGGGGCTTGGAGCGGCACAGTGAAGGAGAGGTCGCCACGTGACCTGCATCTTCGGGGACCTGATCTGTCCTGTCTATTGGAACCTTTTCTGGTATCCGACGCGTGGTCAGCGCGGATTCGGCGTGGCATCGGCTCGGATACGACGTGGATTCGCCACAGATGCGACACGGATCCGACGCGCTCGACACGGAATCGGCGCGGATGGTTGCGGGACGGGACGGACAGGGCCCCTTTGACGTTGCACCAGTCGGTGCGGAATTTTGGCTCAGCGTGTCGCGTCGCCCGTTCTGGCCCGCCACGCTACGGCCCGACATCCACGTCCCCAGTCCCCCAGGCGTCAACGGCTGCCTGGCCAGTAAGTGTCACGGGCGTTTCGTGGCGCCCCCGCTTCCCTCCAAAAAAACAAAGTCCCCGGGTGTCAACGTCGCGGGCCTTCCCGAGCCTCCCGCCCCTCTGAGCGGAGCGACGCGCTATTCGCTCGCAAAACATAGCGTGTCGCCAGGGCCGCCGCCGCGACACACTCCAGCAAAAGTTCCCGACCGTAGGCCACGGTTGCCACACCCTGGCCCCCTCCAGGGGGAGCGGTGGGCCACGCCACCGCGGACGGCGCGGATTGGCGCATTGTCGGGTCGCGCTCGCTCCCCAGACACCGGGTGTCGCGTTCTTTGTCACGACGTGGCTCCTCAGAGGCCTGCGCTCCTTCACCAGCGTGTCATCCCGAGTCCTCCTCTGGTGGTCCCGGGGCCCAGCGAGGGCCCACGGGGAGCCGAGAACAGCCAAGCACCTCCCGTAAGGATTCGTCAGGACGCGAGGACGGCAGGGCTTCGCTCAGACGCCGCCCCCCCCCAGGGCAGCCGCTGCTGGCCTCAACGGGCCCCCCGAGTAGTCCCAGCCGGCCTCAGCAGCCCCCAGCTGGGCAAGTCAGGGGTAACGACAGGGGAGGACAGGCTTACGGGGGGACACATCGACCCTCAATCGCCCATTGCTGGTCGAGAAGTACCCGTTCGCCCACCCCGCCCAGGAACGTGCGGTTTCGCGACCGGGGGCTTACATCGCCGATACATCGGCGATGTAAGCCCCCGGCTTACATCGCCGATACATCTGGCGGCGCTCCCACCTCCTACGGTGCCAAGGGAAACGTCCACCTCTGAAACAGGTTATTCGAAGAAGCTGTCGAGCATCAGGGGGGCGGCGAACGGGAGACAGTATTGACACTGGTTGTCGAGCGAGTCTGCGGAGTGTTCCGAGGCGGCACTCCCGGACGAGGCCGTGCCTCACCATCCAAGCCTCACGACACAGCACTCGATTCGTCTCGTTTCTCAGTGCGTCGCCTGGCTCCGGACGCGTTCGTCCAGACCCGGAGGTTGTACAGGCGCTCTCATCAGCGTGTGGTGCATGAGGAATTAAATATTGCTACGATGAATTGCCAACATCTTAACCCATGGCGGCATGACAACAAATTCAAATTGCAACAACTTGTTCTGGAAGCGCGCCATGGGCACTGGCACGGGGGTTTTCTGTCTGATATGGCTTCTCGAGGCGCGTCGCCTCAGGTTTCAGTTGTGTGTGTAGAAGAATACGTGCTGGTGTTGAGAGGTCGTGTTGGGATTTTACTTGATCAGTGTATGGCCCGGGCGTGGCGGGATGCAGGTGCCCGGACGCTGTTCCACGGTGACTGTGATCGTCTTCTGGCCGTCCCACTTCGCCTCCATGGCCAGATGTATGCTTTTGGGGCCGCTTATTTTCCAACCCAGGCTCCAGATCATGCTGCAGAGCGTCGTGCCACTTGCGAGGCTGCGACTACGTTACATGACGCTGTGGCGCCGAGCACGCACTGGATCTGGGGAGGTGACTGGAATTCCCACTTCGGTAAGGACGCAGTCAGCTGGGGCTGGGTGGGAGGTCGTGTCCTAGAGACTCCCACGGCGGCCTCTTCGTATCATGTCCAGGAGTGGGCCCAGCCAGCTGGATTGCATCATGTGGACAGCTTCTTGCCGTTCCGTGCGGGGAAGCGGGGTACTTGGCTCAACCGACGGAACCGCAAGTATTACGAGAATGACTATTTCCTGTCCTCCATTGCGCCCGGCTTCAGGCGCTGGCGGAAGGCTGCCACGTTTGCTGCGTCTTTCGGAGATCACTTCGGGAAGGTCGTCACCCTCATGTTGCCAGGTCGAGCTCGCGCTCGTGAGTGCCGACGCCGGGCCGTCTCGGACGCTCCGCTGGGCAAGTGCCGCTCAGGCTTCGACGGTGCTCTCCGCGAGCGTCGGCCCCTCCGAGTCGACCTTCTCCGTGGGCCTTCACACAGCGCCCAGGAGGCTCGACGCGTGTTCGCGGGGGCAGCCGCCCAGCAACTCGCCAACCCGACGCCGTCCTCTTCCGCCACCGCGCCGGCTCCCTCCCTGACCAGCTGGGAGTCGCTATCGAACGCCCTGCGGTTCGCTGCGGAGGAAGCCGTGGGCCGCCAGCCCCGCCGCAACGTGCTTCCGATTCTGGCGTCCAGGCAGAAGGAGGAGGCCGCAGACAAAACGGCACTCAAGGCAATGTGGGAGTCGATACGTCGGGAGCCGGACGGGGACAGAGCCCTCGCACTGCGGGCAGAACGCAAGAGGATGAAGGCGGCTGCGAGGAGGAGAGAACGGTGGTGGCGACGAGAATTCATAGACGAACTCTGTGGGGATCTCCAGCGGGCAGTGGACGATCGGGACAGCCGCCGTTTCTACGCTGGATTGCGGGAGCTGGGTGTGTTTTCGCGCGACACGGGGCTGCTGGAGGAAGACTGTTTCACGGCAGAGCAGGCGGCCCAACACCTGAAGAGCATCGGGGGCGAACCCAACCTGCCCAGCACACACGACCAGGTGCTCCAGGAGGTGCCAGGGCACCCCCCCGACGTCGGCTTGGACACGCCACCGCTGAACGACGACATCCAGTCCGCCATCGACACCATGAGGGTTTCGGCCGCCGGTGACGACGAGATCACGATAGACATGATCCGAGCTGGCGGGCCGCCCGTGTTCCTACAGACGTGCTCGCTGGTGCGGCGTTTGTGGTCCGAGCCAGGGCAACAGTGGGAACCTGGAGTCGTGCGCGGAGTGGTGACCATGTTGTGGAAGAGGAAAGGCAGCAGGGAGGATCTCGACAACTACAGGGGCATATGCCTCTTGTCGATCATTTCTCGTATTCTCGCGCGGGTCGTGGCGAGAAGGCTGAGCGGTTGGGCGGAACAGAAGGGGCTGTACGTCGCCGAGCAATACGGATTTCGCACTTACCGCTCCACGCGGGACGCCATCCTCGTCAGCAGGGTCATGTTTGAGGAGGCGGTTCGCCCGGGCTCCAACTTCGAGGAGGACGTCCTCACGCTTCTCCTTGTAGACATCAAGAAAGCCTACCCCAACGTCCCGCGAGCGCTGTGCTGGGACGTCCTGAAGAAGCTCGGCGTGCCGGCGGGGCTGTTGCAGGTGCTACAAGGCCTTCACGAAACGACGCAGTATGTGGTCCGCACCAACCGTGGCGATTCTGCGCCGTACCTCCTGCAACGTGGTCTCCGCGAGGGATGTCCCAGTAGTTGCGTCGTGTACAACATCTTCCATAATGCAGCCCTTCAAGCCCTCAAGCAGCAGCTGGGCAGTGTATCCATCAGGGCGCGCACTGCGCTGGAGAAGCCGCTGCCCCGCCCTCGCGGGAAGGCTCCGCCCCCCGAGGGATTGCAGGACTTCCTCTTCCAGCTGTTGGCTTTCGCGGACGACACTCCTGTCCCGTCGGCGCTCTCGAACACCGCAGAGGTCGAGCGCGCGGTCACTGTTGTTCTCCGGGACCACGGAGAGCACGTGCACCCGGGGAAGACCGAGAAGATCATGGCCGCGCCGGCCGGGCTAGAAGGGCCACTCCCTGAGGGCTACTACCGCAGCATCCGCTTGCTTGGCGCCTGGATCGATAGCGACGGAGGCTCCAGGAAGGACACGGAGGAACGCATCAAGAAGGCAGCCGCTCTGTGGCACAAGATCAGGCCGCAGCTGCCTCGCATGCGCTTGTCTCGTAGACTGCTCGCTCAAGTTGTCCAGTCGACTGTGGTGGCGTGCCTGCTCTATGCGTGTGAGGTCCGTACGCGCACTGCCCAGGACTACAAGCGCATGCAGGTGTTTGTCAACAAGATCATCCGCTGGCTGACGTGGACACCAGAGACGGGCGGCATGCGGCAGATGGAGGGGGAACTTACGATGACGGACCTGCGGTTGCAGCTCGGCCTGCTCACTGTCAAGGAGTACGTCATGCGGCGCCAGTACGCGCACCTCGGACACGTGGCCAGATACCCTGCTGACCGACTGGAAAGGCTCGCTCTGGGTGCCTGGCTGGGCAGCTCCAAGGGGCGCGCCCTCGGACTGCGAGACTTCTACTGGCAGCGCGTCCGTGAGGTGATGCGACACAGTAGCTTGCCCGAGCGCGAGTGGCCGGACGCCTGGATGGAGTTCGCTCGATCGGGGGAGCCACGCGGGGCGCCCTGGCGAGCTGCTTGCGGGCGTGCCGTCGCTGATCGCAAGGAGGAGGCCGACGGGGACACTTGGGCGAGGCGCCACGCTGACGACGTGCAGTGTTCCTACTGTTCCCGGCAAGTGGCGAACTTGCCGCGCCACCTCCGGGAGTGCGACAGAGCCCCTCTTCGTCGCCTCCGGGGCAAGCAGCCGCCGCCCCGTGCTGCGGCGCCGCGGACTCGAGTGCGGCTCCGGGGGAAACAGCGAGCAGACCGCCTCCTCCGAATCCGACTCCCAGTCGCCAAGCGGACTCTCAAGCCGAAGGCGCGGCCGAAGTCGAGGGCTCAGAGCAAACGCACACCTCGCCCTCCAGCCCGGGCGCTCGACGCCCTCAGCCGCCAGGGAGGATGGAAATGCCCATATTGTCAGCAGATGGTCGGCAGCCCGACTCACCGCTATGTGTGCGCCGCTGCTCCGTGCGCCGTGTGGCACTCGCACGTGGAGTCGAAGCAGCGTAAGAAGTTCCCAGACGAGAGCGCCCGGGCGTCGTGGACGTGCAAGTGTGCCCTTTGCGGCATGTTTTTTCCGAGTGTCAAATCGGTGGCGGCGCACACGAAGGAATGTCGGAAGCGCCGTGTACGTTCTGGGCTATGATGTCCCTTCTGCATCCAGGTATTTTTGAACATCGTCATGCGTATTCCTGGGAGGTGGTGTCTCGAAGAGCACGCTTTCGTCGCCCTTCTTCGTGTCCGTTGTGTATTGGCTCGGGCGGTCGAGCTCGCTGTTGGCTACCTTCTCGCGCTGTGCCATTCATTCTGTGCGTCGGCATGGACGTTCTCCAGGCTGCGCAAAATTCCCGGGGCGCAGCTGCTGCCGCGGCCCCCGCGGCAGGCGCCGGCGCTAAGGGGCGCGGCAAGGGCGGCAAGGGCAAGAGTGAGCGGGCCATCCTCATGGAGGGCATCATCCCCGTGCTCACCGCCCACGAGAGGGTCATGGGAGACCTCCTCGACCGCTCGTCGTTCGTGGTGGTGGTAAAGGATGCTGGCCTGAAGGGGGACATCGAGACGGCGAGGGACAGCTGGCGCAAGCAGGACCCTCGCCGTAAGAAGGCGAACGACGAGGCCATGGGCCAGGATTCTGGTTCTGGACCCCACCCGCTGGGCTCTCAGCGCGCGCTTATCCATGATGTCCGACGAGGTGCCTGCGGAGTACCACGCGGCCTTCCGGATCGCGAAGTCGATCAAGTGCGAGAAGCTCTTCGTGGCGAGCCAGCGCTCGCAGGACGGCCCCACGGTCAAATGGCTGCTCGACCTGAGGAATGGGTCTACGGAGGCCCGGCCCATTCGCCAGCGGGTCGGCTAGCGTGTCACGATTCCAGAACGAGTGCGCCTCTGGCAGTGGACGCCGGAGGCGCGTGTCTTCCAGAATTCAGTTCTCCAGCTGTCAGTGCCGATGGGCATATTGATTTGTCATTTTCATATGTCGAGGGGCGTGTGGATTTGTCATTTCTGTACACTCCTCCCCCCTTGCCCCGCCCCCTCCCCCACCGTGTTCCCTGCCCGGGGCACCCCGTCAGCGAGGGATTGCATGCAGGCGCCGCTGGCAGTGGACGCCAGAGGCGCGTGTCTTCCAGCATTCTGTTCTCTTGCTGTCAGTGCCGTGGGGCATATTGATCTGTCATTTTCAGTGTCGAGAGGCATATGGATTTATCATTTCTGTACACTCTCCCCCCCCTCCCCCGCCCCCTCTCCCACCGTGCGCCCTGCCCGGGGGACCCTGACAGCGCGGGTCGCACGTAAACGCCGCTGGCTTTGGACGCCAGGGGACGGGTCTTCCAGCATTCACAGTGCATATCGTATTTGTGCCGAGAGGCATATTGATTTGTGATTTTTCCCAAGAGTCAGATGTCGAGGGGCATATTGATTTGTCATTTGGCGTGGAGGTCCCTCTTGCTGCTGTCGTGTCGTCCTGTCTCGTCTTGTCTCGTTTCGTCCGTCGTCCCCTCCTCGTCGTCGCGGCTGGGCGCGGCCTGAAAAACTGGCTGGTCGTCTCGTCCCTCCCCCTCTCCTCTCGCCCTTCCCGCTCCTCCGGGCCGTGCCGCTGGCCTCTCCTCCCCCCCTCGTGGGCCGTGCCCTGGTGTCCGCCCCTACCGCGTGCGGGAGTGGCGGGTGCGGTGCCCGGCCCGCGCTCCCCCGCCTTTCTCTCCCTGTCGTCGTCGTTGCTTGCTTTGACCTCTGTCGCGCCAGATTGAATGGTGTATTTTCCTGTGAATTCTTCTCCCGAGGGTCTGGACACTCACCCGCGACACGGGTCCAGGCAGCCGGCTCCGTGGGCTCTTGGGCCTCCGCGGAGGCCGCCCGCGGGGCCTGTGCCCCCTCGGGGGCGGTGTCGGCAGGCCGTGCTCCCCCGGGGGCTCCGGCACGCCGTGCGACCGCTTGCGAGTTTTGCCCGCCCGCCTGCCGACCCAGGCTGCCTGTGGCAGCCAGGCCGGCGCGCTGAGAGGTATGGCGCGAGGGCGGTGATGCTGTGCCGGGAGCGGCCCGCGAGGCCTTGGCGCTCCGAACTTGATACATCGGCGATGTATCGCCGATTCCAGGGGCGATTCCAGGCCCCAGCCCTCAACGCCTCGATCCTGGGGCGCGGAGCGCCCCTGGCCGCCGGAGGCGGGCGCCGAGGTGCTGAGGCCGCCCCAGGCGACTCGGGAGGCCTGCTGAGGCCAGCTGTCAGGAGGGACAAAACACACACAGACACAATGAATCGCCGACGCAAGAGAAAGCATAGGAACATATGGGGAGGGGGTGGGGGAGGACAAGAGCCGAGAAAATATGCGGAAGTCTGTTGTTTGTGGTTATTTGTTTGTGTGTCCCAGGGCCCCTTCAAGCTGGGACTACCTGAGTGGCCTGTTGAGGTCAGCCTGGACTACGTGGGGGTGCTGTCTGCGAGGAGTCCGAAGCCTTACCACGCGAGGGTGTCGGGGTCGGGGCCACCCACCCTCGTCCATGCTGTGCGGAGGGGCACTCGGCCAGCCCCTCGCTGAGGCACGGCGGACCACGCCACCGCGGACGGCGCGGAGGGCGCCAGCCTCAGCTGCGCCTCCGCCGAGGGTGGCCCTCAGTTTCTGGTCGACGGCAGCGACGGCAGTGGCGAACGCGAAGGCGATTGCGACGACAGCGACGGCGTCGGCGATTGCGAGGGCGGCAGCGCCGCTTTCGACGACGGCGACGACCGGGACGCGACGGCGATTGCGACGGCGGCAGACGCGGCGACGACGACCGCTGCGGCCAGCGGTCCTTCGGTTGGCCGTTGGTGGCCAGCGAGATACACTGCCTTTTCCAGACGTGGACTTCGAACCGGAGGGGAGGGGTGGGATAAAGAGAGGCAGGAGAAGAGGCAGGCGGTGCTCCGCCTGCTTTACTTCCTCCTCCCCGAGGGGGGGGAGCAGGAGGAGGGCAAGGAGAGAGGAGGAGAGGAGGAGGAGGAGGAGGAGGAGGAGGAGGAGGAGGAGGAGGAGGAGGAGGAGGAGGAGGAGGAGGAGGGAGGTGGAGGAGGAGGAGGAGGAGGGAGGTGGAGGAGGAGGAGGAGGAGGAGGAGGAGGAGGAGGAGGAGGTCGGGCGGGCGTGGGTGGATGGGGCTGACAGGGGGAGGAGGCCCACCTCCCCTGGCCCTGCGCCTCCCCCCCCCGCGGTGCCGCCGCCCTAGCCAGGGCCCACGCCCTCAGGCCGGGCCGCGCCGACGGCCGCGGCCCCGGGATCGGCCCGCGCTCTCCCGGGAGATCTGCCCGAGAGCGGCCCGAGGCGCCGTGCTCTTCGAGAGGCCGGCCGGGCTGCAGGAGGCGTGGTCGGCCGCGGCGCGCCGCGCCATCGTCGCGCCGCTGGGCGCGCCCTGGGCTCCGCGTTGCGGCCACCGCATGGTCGCCGCGGCCGCGCCCGGAGCCGTCGGAGGCCCGCCCTTTCCTCCGCCGCCGCCTCCTTATCCGTGTGATTATCCTACTCCTACTCCTTCTCCTTCTCCTTCTCCTGCTCCGCCTCATTATCATCATCATCATCATCATCATCATCAGAATCAGAATCAGAATCAGAATCAGCATCATCATCATCATCATCATCATCATCACCACCATCATCCTCAGCATCAGCATCATCACCACCACCATCATCATCAGCACCTGCAGCAGCATCATCGACATCATAAGCATCGTCAGCATCATCATCATCATCAGTAGCATCAACATCATCAAGATCATCACCGTCATCATCATCGTCGCCATCGTCATCATCATCATCATCATCCTCATCATCATCATCGTCATCATCACCGTCTTCGCAATCACCGCCGTCATCACAGTCATCAGCATCATGACCATCATCACCATTGCCACAGTCATCATCATCTTCATCCGTAGCCTGTTTGGGTTCAAGCTCGAAACACGAATCCCTGGTGCATCGAGCTTGTTCGCAGCTGAGGGGACGGCTCGACACCTAGTTAGGCACAGCTGCCCTAGTTCTGCTTGCACCTCCTTTTCCGATGCTCTCGGATCCCGATCTGCTCGGGGGCGCGATGGCACCGAAGACGTCTGATGAGTCTGTCTCGGTCGCGGAGTTGGCTGCCAAGTGGGCCAAGATGAGCGCCGTTTGCGAGAAGATCAATGGATCCCTTGGTGTACGCGCTTCTCTTTCTGCTCAGGTTGCCGCTCTCGCTGCTTCCATCCAGAGTCGCCAGGCTTGTGTCGACACTGGGAAGGCGAACTTGGAGAAAACAGACACAGCCTTGCAGACATCACCAAATGGTCGCCTGCAGTGTATTGGCATGGGCTACTTCACGAAGTGGCCGAACAGCTCACGTTACTGGCTGAGCGCCCCTAAAGAGTGTCGTTGTCGATCTGCCCAGCCTAAGCTGTCGCGACATTTCGAACGCCCATCCCGCCTTGCGCCCTCGAACTGTTAGACGTCCCCCAGTCGTGCTGCCGCGTGCACCCGCCACCACGCTGGATGTGGCGGAGTTGGGTGGGGGTGAGGTTACGGTCCGGAGACTGTTTCTCTTACGGCCCCCCCCGGGATCATGTGATTTTGTCGGTTGCGTAGCTTCGCGAGCGGCACGCAATACTGGCGCCTGCGCGGGGCGTACGTGGAGCTGCCCAAAGCGAAACGTATGCGCTATCGGCCAACAACCCTTCCCACCAGATAGCTGGGGCTATCGCCGAGAAGTGCAAAGCGATCTCCAAGACGTTTCGCTTGACGTGTCGTGCCGCCAGCTCTGGCCCACCACGCCTCGGCGCGACTCGCTCACCTCGTTTTTTGTGCCTGGCGTCAACGCCCCGAGCTTTTTCCCAGCCTTCCGCCCACCGGAGCGGAACGATACGCTGCCCGCTGGCAAAGCACAGCGTGTCGGTGGGTCTGCCGCCGAGGCACGCCAAGCGACCCTTTCCGACGGCAGTGGGGTCGCAATTGGCCCTCAAATTTTAGTGGGCACACCACATGGGGAATCAGGTTGCCAAGAGGCGCCCCACGTACATTTCTTCTATAGAGATGGCCACGGGGAGCCGCAGAAGCCTTGGGGCACCTTTTTCTAGAAAGTTCAGATGTCGTCCTCAAGCGTGCCCCATCGATTTTTGGAAGCGGAATCTCGTATCATATGAATATATTGTATGCAGTTGTGTTGCCGTGCGAATCCGCTACCACGCTGGGGGCGGCGGAATGGGGGTGACGAGTTTGGGGGGTAGGCCAGGGGTTGGTGGAAGGCGGGGACTTCTGTTGTTCTGTTGTTGGCCTGACAGACCAAGGGGATCGTCCCATGTGCCAGGGTCGTTTTGGCGCGCACGGCGACCTGCCGGCGCGGTTGGCCAATCATGATACTGACATGCAGGATTTCGCCGCTCTCACCTCCTGTTCGTAGGCCCGCCAGGGAATGGTCTAATGCACTTTTTTGTGATTCGCACGACTTGTTTTGCGAAAGCGTTTGGCTGAGGCAGTCTTGTTTCACTCCATCGGTTGCACGTTCCCAGAACATATGCTTTGTAGTGCTGAGAGTCTTTCGTTCTGCGAGCATGACGTGGGGGTCGATAGGAATGCCAGGACGGTCGGTTCCTGTTCAAATCGTCACAGGTGGAAGGAACTGGGCATTCTGTTTAAAATGCTCCTGCAGTTCCGCGCTGACGTCCCACGGGAGGCGTGGAGGGAGGGGAGAGAGACGAGGGCGCGCAGGGCCTCAGAGGGGTTGGCGTTACCATTATCGCAAGCACTGCGCGCCATCTTCCGTCGGAGAAGGCCACCGCTTGCAGTCGTACCAGTTCCAATGTTCAGCGACGAACGAACAACACACACCCGTACCCATGCGGGCGTGGAGGGTGCTATGGATGCGTGATGTCAGATGGGGGTCCCCGCTCGAACGGGAGCGCCCCCCGTGGTCCGACAACCCGCGCTGTGTTGTTCGCTCGTCGTTCAGGGCACCGTGAGCAGAGGCCCTGCTTGTAACACGTGTAGGGGCGCGCGTGTCGCCGCCCACAGGTCCTCAGGCCCGATCCTGGCCCAGGGCTGGTGTTGGTCCCCGATTCCATTTCGGGGGCGGAAAAGAGGGAGGTGATGACTAGGGGGGGTTGGATATCATTGCGTGGGCCATGATATTTCCCCAGATTTCATGGCGCCTCTTCTTGTTTCATGACGTCCCTGGCCCCCCCGCTGGGCCGCGCACATGCCGCTGGTCATGATTTGCACCCCCCCCCTCTTGGACACCCCCCTCTTGGCCGCTCCCGACCATCGGGCGATGTGGGATTTCCTTGGGGCACCTGCTGGCAGGCAGGTTTGCAGTTTGGTGTGCCAGCTGCAGCGCACACACAGGTTTTGACAGGGACCGCCAGACTACCTTTCAAGAAGGCTGCGAGAGCGAACCTTCAGGCGATTGCCAGATTTGCACAAACATGCAGTGCACACACAGCGGGTACATCAACCAAGACATTGGCCTGCCAGCCGGTGCCCACGGTAATGTCTTTCCCCCGGTTGTCCCAGGTACCTACAGAAGCCTTGGGGCATTTGGGGACCCTAATAGATCGCCGCAAACTGTGTCCCAAGATTGCTTCCAGCAGTATCGTATGTTGTTCTGACTACTTGATTTAGCGCGTGCGGCACCAGCCGTTCGTCTTCTGAGCGCTTTGCTCCCAGGTCGAGTCTATCGGGCCCACTGGTCGAATGGCCAGGTCTGCTGCATGCTGCGGCTGTCGGCATCCACCGGTTGATCGTCGCCGCCTCTGCCGTCGCCGTCGACGTCGACGACGTGTGCTGCTGTGTCCCGCACAGCGCCGACTTACACTCAGAGGAGGAAAAGGTACGCATACCGATGCCCTTCCAAGGTTTGTCGCCGTCTTTTGGGCCTCCTGGGAGGCCCTCGTCGCCACGGCTGGATTCGCTTTGAAACCCTGGACAGAACCCGCTTCCAGAGAGGTTCAGGGAGTGGCGGTACGGTAGATTCTCGTTGTGTCGACCAGCGGCGGCGACCCCGCCGCCGGCGTTCAACGTTGAACGCCGCCAGTGATTCGGAACGGCCGATCTGTCAGGGGCGCATGATCCCCGCGGCGTCAGGAACCCAACGCCGAGGTCGACACGACACAACTTGCCGTAGCAGAGCCTTTGTTGACCCCCCCAGTCGACGTCGCGGCGTGCAGGCCAGCGGCTGTGGCTGCTCGGCGGCGTGGGGGTGGACCCGTTCGCGGAGGCGCCCGCCGCTGCAGCTGCAGGCCCCGAGCCGTCAGCTCTGGGGGCGGGAGGGTCCTCGCTTACTCTTAGGTCGGGCTTGTCCTACAAGGGGATTTTGGACGAAAAACGAAAAATGGTCAGAACATGCCCAAACTGTTGTTCAAAACTTGTGAAAACATTCTACTATATTGGAATATCCTCCCTGTATAGAGAGAGAGAGAGAGAGGCCCGACTTAAGCTTACTCGCGGACCTCCTCGCTCAGAGCAGGAAGAGGTGCCAATTCGGGGCTCAAGAGACGGAGGTCAGCGCAAACTAGAGTCAGCCAGAGCGCCGGATCTTGCAGCATCCTGCAGGGCCAGGGGCGCACTGACCCGGGTCTGGATGCAGGATCCTGCAGTATGCAGGATCTTTTGCATTGACCCAGGTTTGGGTGTAGGATCCTGCAGGATCCTGCAGGATTCTGCAAGGCCTGAGTGACCCGGGTCTGGATTGACCCGAGTCAGAAGATCTCCGACAAGTACCGCTACTCGTCCCTCGTTGTCCCTTTATGGGGACACCCTCGCCGCCACGGCTGGACTTCTTCGATATGTTCTGTCAGAGCGCACGGGAGAGGTCCAGGGAGAAGCGGTAGCGGTTTGATGTTTTGTTCCGCCAGTTGTGTTTTGTGTTTCTGTTGGTGTTTTTTTTCAGCGTATTGGGGCCCTTCCTGGGCTTTGGATCCGCTAACAAGCGGCGGCTCGGGATGAAACGCAGGCCCTCCGGGAGGGAGGGGTCACGACCTCTGGGGATCCACGGTGCGGAAGAGAGAATCACGACGCCCGATGCTTGAAGTATGGGCCCAGAAATTGTTTGGGGTCAGGAGGAACATAATACATAGTCACATAGTGAGCCTTGTGAGGCTTGGGCCCTTTTCTGCCCTCGTCATAGTCAGCAACATAACTGCCGTCACCATTCTTACCCCTCTTCACTAACCGACTGGCGTCTCGGCCCAGGGGCCTCTGATGTTCTGAAGTTTCCAGAGCCTGCTCCAGAGGCAAATTGGAAACTCGGTGGGGGAGGGGCCTTAGTGGACTCTTTGGGCAAAAGACGGTCGGGAATGATTGCTTCGCGTGTCGTGCCGTCAGTTCTGGCACACTCCCCAGCGTTCCGCCCTGTGAGGCGGAGCGTTACGCTATCAGCTTGCAGGGCAAAGCGTGTCGCTGCGCACAGCGCTCTGGCCTCCTCGAGGAGGTCCCAGTAGATGGGGTCGGAGGATCGCGCCGCAGCGCCGATTCAACGTCGATGCATCGACGCCATCGGCGTGTAGAGAATCGTGCTATACATCGATCCGCGTCGGCGATGCATCGGCGATGAAGCACGATCCGCCGACCCCATCTGCTCGGGCCCCATCTGGGAGGCCTGGACAGCCGCGTTGCATCGCTCGGACGTGTGCACTTGTTCCCGGCGAGGACCATCGAGGAAGCAGAAACGCACGACTCCGAACGCTGCACGGGGAAGGGACATCCGAGCGATGGCACGATCGAGAGCTCCCGACCGCAGGGCATGCCAGGGGAGGCCTTGCCTCCGAGGGGTCAAGCTGGGCTGCCCATATCTTTCTCGGTGGAAGGGGGTGGCGGAGTGCAGTCGGGAGCCAGCGGAGAAGCAGCGCGGGGGCGGCGCCGCTGGCGGGGGCTGGCGGCAGGCTGGCGGAAGGCGGCGGTCAGGGGCAACGCTCCTACAGTCAAGGCGATGGGCAAGTAAGTGGGTGATTCCAGGCATCCGTGTCCCCTCTCCTCGTTGCGCGTGGCTGCCCTTCCCTCGCTGTCGCCTTTCTGAAACTCCCATGAGGCCCTCGTCGCCACCGCTGGATTCGCTTCGAAATTCTGGTCAGAACGCACCCCAGGAGAGGTTTTGGGAGTAGCGGTATCGGCATTTTCTGGTTTCCCCAGTTCTAGGCCTCCCAAATGGGGTCCGAGTAGATGGGGTCGAAGGATCGCTCCGCATCGCCGTTGCACTGACATTGCGGCGCGATGCGGAGCCCAATTTTCTCCGCGCCGACGCATCGCCGACGTCGCCGATGCCTCGGCGAAGCATCGGCGATGTATCGCCGATGCATTGGCGATGTGGCGCGATCCTCCCACCCCATCTACTTGGACCTCATATGGGAGACCCTTCACGTTATGGGGGGGAGGCTCAGGGGGAATTCGGGGCAAGTCGCAAATGGCGGCCCAGGCACAGTGCATATGTTTTGTTGAGCGCCTGTCGTCCAGAGAGCCGGCCAGAAAGTTAGACACTATACGTTGTCTTCTGACGTTTTTGAGAATACCCATGGGACAAGGCGCAGATACCGTAAGTAGTGTATATACGCGCGGTTCCCGGGATGCATCGGTCCCCAATCATCCATTCATCGCCGAAGGCGCTCGCCGGCCATCCCGCTCAGAAACAGGTGGCTTTTCTACGGGGGCCTGTCGCTGATCGATCGGCGATGTATCGCCGATTCCTGCTCGATGTGACCCTGAGCTGGTTCCCCTTTGACGTTCCCCCTCGGGCGGATGTGAATGTGAGACGCTAACATTTTAGGATCAGGGGTTTCGGAGCCGGCTGGGGGGTTGAGGCGGCCCAGTACGTGTTCCGGCCAGGGGACAATTCGCACCCTCGTCGCCACATGTGGACTCGGATCGAAAACATTGTCATTCTCGACCCCGTGAGGGATCCGGTCCTGGGACTGATTGTCAGCGGATTTGCACTCGGGCCCCGCTCTTTAGCGTTTTTCTCGTGTGCGATCTAGCGCAGACCCCTCGGCGGCTTCTACCAAGGGTTCCCGTAGTCGGCCAAGAAGATGGCTTCTCTTGTGTTTGACGCGGATTCGACACAGATTTGACGTAGGTTCGACACGGATTCGTGGATTTGGCGTGGACGTTGGGCGGATTCGACACGAATAGTTATGCGACGGACAGAAGATCCCCCGAGTATGCAGCCCGATAGTCAGCGCAGGGACTGCCTGGAGGGAAGAAGCGCATTCTGTGCTCCGTAAGTTAATCGTGGGGGGACCTCGGCGCGCGACGGTGGTCCGCGCCCGCTGTCGATTTGGGGGCTGTCGGCGGACGTGGCGGCCCCCCCTGCGCTTGTGCCCAGGGGGGCATGCGCCCTATGCCTTCCCCCCTGGGCTCGCCGCCGAGGATGGCATCGTGGCATGGACCAAGGCGCAGGGAGCACGCAGCATGCACCACTGTGCTGTCTCCTTACGCCATCATGTGGCGCAGCCCCTTGCTTGGGCTGCCGGTGCTTCTCCCGCTCCACTCCTTCCCCCTCCGCCTCTCCCACGCTTCTCGCGTGTAGATCAATATGCTCTCCTTGCGCCATGCCGTACCGCGGCATGGCCGACGCACAGATGATTCGCGGCGTATGCGCGCCCCGCTTCCGCAGGCGCCGGCGGCGCAGCCGTCGACCTCAGTGGAGAGGTGGGCTCCATTGGCAAGTCGAAGTCGGGCAAGTCGGGGAAGTCGAAGAAGAAGGGCAAGACGTCGGCGAAGCCGCCATCGAGAAGCCCCAGGCTGTATGATTGGACGAGGAGTAGGGTGCGGCCAGGAGGAGGAGGAGGAGGAGGAGGAGGAGGAGGAGGAGGAGGGGAGGAGTTGCAGCAGAAAGTCCCAGGCGGCTACCCAACGGGAGCAAGTCCAACGTGATCGAGGCCAGGTAGCCAATAGAGTTCCTTACCATACCGTCTTTCTTTGCTGGACAGCACGGGGATGGCCAGATGGCATCAACGGGTGGGAGTGGGTAGTGGTGCGCCCAGGGGGACGGGGAGGAGGGGTGGCAGCGTAGGTAGGGAACCACACGTTTTTAGGGCACTGTCGCACGATGTAACATACTGTTAGCCACTGCTTTTGTTGTGTTCTTCATGTCTCCTCCTTCTTCGCATCATCGCTGGGCGCTCTCCCTGACCCCTCCTGTCGCGAAGCCTTTCATTCTCAACTCCCGGGGGGAGGGTGGGCGTTGCAAAGGGAGAAAATTGCGCCATGAAGGAAAGGGAGATCGAGGGAGGGAATCCCAGATCCTGTGGCTTTCCCAGGACCAGTTCTAGGGCTCGTTGGGGCGAAGGGGGCAGGGGGCCCGAAAACGGCCAAACAACCTGGAGGGCATCTTTTTCATCCGGGGCCCTCTTGCTCCATTGAGAGTCCTGAGATCCCGATATCGTGAGAAATCACGACCGGTGCGCTCGGCACCCATGTCGAAGACGCCTACGGCGAATCTCCGCCGCCCCCTGCCTTTTTGGAAGCGCCTATGTGGCCGAACGTTGAGGCCAGACCTGCCAAGCTATCGGACCATGTGTTCCCCGAATCGGTTTGGAAAGCCTTCGGGGAACACGTGGGCATCTTGAAGGTCATCTTGGCCGCCTGGAGGCCATTTTACCCTTTCGGTCCTTCTTGGAAGACGTCTTGGAGGGCTCTTGGGTTGAGCTTCTTGGAGACCTCTGGGGCCGTCTTGGGGGCCTCTTGGGGCCGTGTCTTGGGCCTCTTGGGCGATCTTTGGGGGCACTTGGGCCGTCTCGGGCCGTCGGAAGGCCAAAAACAAACAAATGCCACACCCCTTCAAAAACCTACGGGAAATCAATGATTTTGGCCTTGTCGGCCCTTCCTGGAGGAGGCCTCTTGGGCCGTTTTGGGCCATCTTAGGGTCATGTTGGGCCGTCTTGGTGGGCTCCTGGTCCGTCTGACGCCGTCGGAAGCCGTCTTGGGGGCCTTTCTGGGCCGACTTGGGGCCCTCTTGGAATGCTCCAGGGCTGTCTTGGAGGCCATCTTGGGCGTCTTAAAGGCCTCCTGTGCCGTCTTGGGGGCCTCTTGGGGCCGTTTTGGGGCCCTCTTGGGCCGTTCTGGGGCCATCTTGGAGGCTTCTTGGGCGATCTTTCGGCGATCTTTGGGGGCTCTTGGGCCGTCTCGGGCCGTCGGAAGGCCTAAACGAAGCAACTGCCCAAATCCGTCAAAAACCTTAGGGAAATCAAGGTTGTTGGCCTCTTCGGGCCTTCCTGGAGGCCCTCTTGGGGGCCTCTTGGGCCGTCTTGGGCCAGCTTCGAGCCAACTTCGGCCATCTTGGTGGGTTCCTGGCACGTCTGACGCCGTCGGGAGCCGTCTTGGGGGCCTTTCTGGGCCGACTTGGGGCCCTCTTTGGGCGCTTCGGGGCCGTCTTGGAGGCCATCTTGGGCGTCTTGGAGGCCATCGTGGGCGTCTTGGAGGCCTCTTGGGCCGTCTTCGCGTCGTGGGAGCCTCTTGGGCCGTCATGGGGCCATCTTGGAGGCCTCTTGGGCGATCTTGGGGACCTCTTGGGCCGTCGGAACGCCGAAAAGGCGCAAATTCCAAAATCCTTCAAAAACCCAACGAAGATCAACGATTTTGGCCTCTTCGGGCCTTCCTGGAGGACCTCTTGGAAGCCTCTGGGGCCGTCTTGGAGGCCTCTTGCGGGCCTTTTGGGCCGTCTTAGACCATCTTGGGGCCATCTTGGGCCGTCTTGGATACATTTTGGGACCATTTTAGCCGTCTTGGAGGCCATCTGGGCTGTCTTGCGGAACAGGCATTGACTTGTGCAGTTTCCGGGTGGCCGGCGGAACGCGCCGGAGCCTCAGAGGGAGTTCTTTGGGAAAAAGAACCAACACCAAAACCGAGAGGGTCTGACGCGCCAGGCACCCCTTTGACAAATCAACAGGGGCGGCGGATCCACTTGCGGCAAGTCCCGCCACCGTGCCAGCCCAGCTGTCTCAGCGGGCTGTGGCCGAGGGGGCATGGAAGTTCTAACGTGTGACATTGCGTATCTCTGGTCTTCGGAGAGACCTGGCACGTGACGCGTTCCTCTTGGGGTGTCCTGTAGGTTCTGGGAGTCAGGTGTCTGACGCCGTCACGTGTGACACCTCGACTGTCTGGAGATTTCGGTTCGTGTTTGAATTGTGTGATCCCGTCAGGGGCATGGGAACGATGATGATGATGACGACGACGATGACGATGACGATGATGATGATGATGGTGATGATGAGGATGAGGATGATAAGGATAATGAGGATGATGAGGATGATGATTCTGACGACGATGTTTGTGATGGTGGGGTGATGATGAAGATGAGGACGAGGACGGTAATGGTATGATGATGATGGGAATGATGGTGTTGATGTTGATGCTCATGACCACGAACATGGTCATGATCATGATGATGATGAGGAGGAGGAGGAGGAGGATTAGGATGGTGATGCTGATGATGATGACGACGACAACGACGGTTGCGGCTGCGGTGGCAATGGCGACGACGACGACTGGGACTGTGGCGGCGACGACGACGACGACGACTGCGACGATGACGAAGATGATGATTGTGACGATTGCGATCGTGAAGATGATCGTGATGGTGATGGTGGCTGGTGGTCACTGCATAAGGGAAACAAGTCCCGAGCAGAGCAACACGCACCACGACCACGACGACGCCGGCGACAACGACGACGACGGAGACGAGGCGCGCAGACGATCCGCACCGAAGCACGGATGTGGAAAAGGGCCCACCCTGCAGGTTCGATAAAAAAGCACATCGTTGAGCGGTGCTGCAGCCTTGCCTGAGCACAGGCCCCCCCAAAGCATCAGCCAGACACGTCGGTTTGCACACTCATGCCTTGCTGGACCCTGGGCGCATTTCGGCACCCTCTCCCCCAACCTCGACAGGGCCACCGACAAGGGAGAGGGCGGCGGTGGCCGACGCGTCCCTGAGCTAAGAAGGTCAAAGCGCCGCGGCTCAGAGAGCCGGGAAGACAGACAGACAGATGATGAGGACGAGACCAGGCCGGTGATAGGGGGAATGTTGATAGCGATGTTGATAATGATTGTTGAAGGTCATGATCGAGGGCGTCGTAGTGACCATGGTGATGCTGATGTTGACGATGAGGATGAGGATGAAGATGGTGATGATGTTGATCAGCATGATGATGCTAATGTTGTTGGCGATGATGAATACGATACTGATGGCGACGATGGTGATGAAGATTCTGATGATGCCAATGTCGATCATGATTGCGCTGATGATGCTCATGCTGGTGATGACGATGATGATAATGACGATGACGATGGTACTGTCGACACCTACGTCGACGACGACGTCGACGACGACAACGACGACGACGATGGTGACGATGGCGATGGCGATGCCGATGACGATCTGTATCATGATGATGCTGCTATTAATGATGGTACAAATTATGATGGTGTTGTTGGTGATGATTGTGGTCATGCCCAGGCTGATCATGATGATGATGCTGACGATGATGATGCTGATGATGATGCTGACGATGATGATGAATACGATGCTGATGATGCTGCTGTCGACACTGATGATGCTGCTGCTGCTGATGATGCTTATGCTGGTGATGACGATGATGAAGATGATGATGAGGATGATGATGATGATGAGGATCATACTGTCGACACCTAGGTCGACGACTTCGTCGACTACGGCAACGACGACGATCATGACGATGGCGATGCCGATGCCGATGACGATCTATATCATGATGATGCTACTAATGATGATACTGATCATGATGATGATGGTGTTGTTGATGATGATTATGATCATGCTGAGGATGAGCATGCCGATGATGCTGATGGTGATGCTGATGATGCTGCTGATGACGCTGATGATGTGATGATGATGATGATGATGATGATGATGCTGTCGATAATGACGATGATGATGATGCTGTCGATACTGACGATGATGATGCTGATGATGATGATGATGATGGTGCTGATCATGATGGTGATGGTGGGTGGTGGTCGCTGCATAAGGGAAACAAGTCCCGAGCAGAGCAACACGCACCACGACCACGACGACGCCGACGACAACGACGACGACGACGACGGAGACGAGGCGCGCAGACTATCCGCACCGAAGCCCGGATGTGGGAAAGGGCCCACCCCGCAGGTTCGGTAAAACAGCACATCGTTGAGCGGTGCTGCGGCCTCGCCTGAGCACAGGCCCCCCCAAAGCATCAGCCAGACACGTCGGTTTGCACACTCATGCCTTCCTGGACTCTGGGCGCATTTCGGCACCCTCTCCCCCAACCTCGACAGGGCCACCGACAAGGGAGAGGGCGGCGGTGGCCGACGCGTCCCTGAGCTAAGAAGGTCAAAGCGCCGCGGCTCAGAGAGCCGGGAAGACAGACAGACAGATGATGAGGACGAGACCAGGCCGGTGATGGGGGGAATGTTGATAGTGATGTTGGTAATGATTGTTGAAGGTCATGGTCAAGGGCGTCGTAGTGACCAGACCATGGTGATGCTGATGTTGACGATGAGGATGAGGATGAAGATGATGATTCTGTTCATGAACATAATCATACTAATGTTGTTGGCGATGATGATTACGATGCTGATGGCGACGATGGTGATGAACATTATGATGATGCCAATTATGAAGATTATCATGAGTGTGCTGATGATGCTTATGCTGGTGATGACGATGATGATAATGACGATGACGACGGTACTGTCGACACCTACGTCGACGACGACGTCGACTACGACAACGACGACGACGATGGTGACGATGGCGATGCCGATGCCGATGACGATCTATATCATGATGATGCTACTAATGATGATACTGATTATGATGGTGTTGTGAGTGATGATTGTGGTAATGCCCAGGCTGAGCATGATG